GTAAGTGTTGCTAGGCGANGTAACTCTGAAAGTAAAAACAAAATTTCTGAAGATTTGGTAGTTTTAAAATTAATAAAATTCCTTTGAAATAAAAACACTGAATTTTGATTCCTGGATATTTCAACGTTCACTATATCAATGAATTTTGTAACATTTTCATGTATTTTAAAATTCTATGCTTTTCAATTAAAATTTAATGCTTTTTTAATTAAAACTATTTTTTTGTTACATTTTTGTAATGAAATTTAAGGTTATTTATAATTTTTGATTTGGTTGAAATGTACTTCAAAATCGTTACTATTTTATGTTTTGTGCTCGTGCTTTTACTTGTATATTTTACTCGTTGCTTTTTAAAATTAAAACTTTATGCTTCTTACTCAACACGTTTGCTTAAAGTGCTCATACTCTTTTACTCGTTACTTTAAAAAGTAACTTTCCCGTGTATGTTTAAAATAAATGCGTGCTACCCATTTTGCTTTGTTCTCTTTTGCAAAATTTTTATTTAAAGAAATACAGAATTCATTCTTAGATACCTCAATAAATTATTAATGTAATTTAAGAGCGTCTCTCATATAATAGAATTTAAAAAATTTATTAAGTTTACTTTATAAAGTATTCCTCAAAATAAGTGAAATAACTTAAAAACGATTATAGTTTCATAAAAGTAATTTTTATTATAAAAATTATCTTTTTCAAGATTAGCACAAATGCGACCCCTCTTAAAGCTATTTTCTATTATTTAAATTTATAACTAGGCAAACTTTCTATTAATATTTTCTTATTGAAATTAGCTTAAAAATTTTGTTTGAAATACTGCATGCTGCTCTACGACAATTTCAAACCCAAAGAATATTTCGGTATTTCAAATTAATAAAGTAAATAATATTAAATAAAGAAAACATTCATAATTTCGTGTGTTTTTTGGACTTCTATCTGATGATTTCTATTAACTTCGTTTAAAAAGAAGTGCCGAAAGATTAAAAATATAATACAAGTCGCTTATAACGAACACGCAGGGATCTAGACCAGGGCTGTCCAACTGGAGGCCCGCGGGCCGCATGCGGCCCGCCAACTTTTTATTCAGGTTGATCGGCCTTAGTTTTCCCATTAAAATGTAAGCAAATTGTTTCATAATCCTTCTGTTCCATTGTTTTATAATTAATAATTCAACTATTAACTGCTATTGTATAAGAGGTAAGAGGTTATTGTTCAACTTTTTCAAACTGCGGCCCGCCAGGTGATCAATGACCGGAATTCTGGCCCGTGGGCTCTTTACAGTTGGACAGCCCTGATCTAGACGATTCGCTCCTTAAATTGGATACTCATTAAACTTGAGTCGGTCGAAATTCTCAAAAATAAAAGCTTTAAAATACAAAAATAAAATAGAAAAAATCAAAACTGACTTATTTCTTTAGATATACTATCTATCTATCTTTTCTATTATCTACCATGATTGAGATACTTTTTATTGTACATTAACAGTTGTACAACACAAAAGTCAAAAAATTCATTAACACCTACTGATAACAAAACTTTTTACAATTTTCCAGTAAACACCAAGCTTTTTTAAGTGAATGATTGTGATTTAATTACTTCTGCGCCATTATTTTACTTACAGTCGGTTAAGAACATGTTCGCAGGCAAATTAAAATCAATGTCTTAGAATCAATTCAATAGTTTGCACTACAACATCTTCTCTTAGTTGTTCCAGTTGTGTGATTTTTATCGAGACATAAGAGGAACTTATCATAGTTTTTTTTATTGTTTATCGGAGTACATTTTTTAACAAACTGTACTAAAGGGATGTCTTTTAATTTATCCAAATCGAATGAAATCCGTACAAATAATCGAATACTTTTTTCCGATAGCTTCCATAAAATTATATTTATTGGATTTTTGCTATTGTGGACTAAAGTTTAATGGTGATTTCTCTCAATCTGAAATCGATTGAATTGATAGGAATGTGGTGTTCCTACATGGAATATAAATTTTAAATACATTCAGATACTCTTCGTTAAATCCGATTTATGCTCGTCATAACAGGATTTTATATATTTTTTTCTTTTTTACAAGTCAACCATTCTTTGTTATATAACTTCTTTGTTGAATACGGAATTTCGTTAAATAAGGGCTCGTGATAAATGATTTCGATTGTATATATTATATCTTTTAAAGAAAAAAAAACTAAAAATGCATTTATTCCTAATTCAAACAATACATTTGTATGCAGAATTCATTAAATTAAAATACTACGATTTATTCAGAAGTGAAATAGATTTATCGAATAAAGTGACACAAAAGCATTCGAATAATATATTCTACATCGAATCACATTCTCTTTCGATTCAATCAATAGTTTGAAGCGGATCGGGAGAAATCGCCAACAGGTAACTATCCGCCTTTAGCGCCATAACGGCAGAAATTCAATCAACTCTTTTACATCTAGCGTTTCACTGCACGCAAACGATACTGCGGTATAACCCTTGGGAAATATTTCCAACGCATAAACGCACACAGTGAGGGAACATATATCCGTGACCATAATCTGAAGGAGGGAGATAAATCGAAAAAAACCCATGAATAGTAAAATTTTCAACCGGATCCCCGATAAAAAAAAATTGAAAACGTTTCGAGTTGAAATGATTCGGAACTTATCCCTTGGAGACACATGTGTTCACATTTTTGTTCCACCAATCGAATAACTTTTCGTGTTGGAAAAGATCGTCTGCGGATAAGAGAATTCTAAGTATTCTCCTGAAAATACCACATGTTCATGACATATTTCTTTCTTCAAAGAAAAATCGCATCCTTTGTGAAAATAAGCCTTCACATCACGTGCGATGAATTTTAACATTCCTGTTTGCGCATAGTTAGTGAAAATATAACTGAATAAAACAGTTATTTTATGGGGAAATCGAAGAAATTATTGTTTTGTTAACCATCACCGAGTGTTTTCCAAAGTTTTTTGGGTACATGAGTAACAACAGTCACCATGAATGTTGTTATATACATAAATTTCTTATAAATAAGAGAAATTTATCTGCATAAAACATTCAGTATATCTCTTCAAAGAGCTTTTATTCAAATATCTCTTAGAGAATGAAAGTTTTAGATATTCTTTCCCCCTCTGGACTTAAATTGTAAATAAAAATTGCGCAATATCAAGTACTTCTATCATGGACATCGTTGGTGAGGTGACGGTAGATGTATATCCCCCTAAATATCAAGAAATCTGCATATGTACCCATCAATATCTCAAACAAATAAGGAAAATTTTTATGACTCATCATTGATGTTAATTCCTCGAAGTTAAAAATCAGAAAAAGGCAAACAATAATCACACTTTTTACAAATATTTAGTAGACGTTCGTTATGTGTGAAATTTAGAGAGCTATTGTGACTGTGTATTTAATTTCGTCTGCCTCAAAAGTTGGACTCATGCAACGCCCACGACTTGTACTGTACAATTCATATGGAATAAAATGATCTCTAAGTGCACATACTTATTTTGGAATTACAATACAATTTTGAATAATAATATACTTCATTAAAATACACAAAAATGCAATTTTGAATAACAATGAACGCTCTAATACTAATAAATAACAAATAACATTTGTTTTGTTGAAAACGCTAAAAATAAAAAAGTTATTTTAACGCCATAATTAGGATGCTTTACACTTCATGCTTTACACTTTAATACACATTTATTCAGATTCTTTGGTAATAATCTTGCTTAATATACTTGTATAAAATTTATCGTTACTGTCAAAAATTAAATATAAACGTAATCGATACCTCAAAAAACTGAAAACCAAGTTAAATTATTACCTTCCAAATTGTTTCAGTTTTCTCTGACCCTGAGTTTCGTCAAAAACTTTACTTAATAAGTAAGCAAACAAGTATATAAAGATAATATCATATTCATCATTGAGAAGATAAGTTTTGCAGATGTGGAACTTTTAATTGGGTACTAGCTTTTAATCACATGGTGGTGTTTAACCAAGTAAATGTGCTTGGCGTGTCGAAGTTACAGCCTTAAAACTTAGGCTTATTATCAGGCTGAATCAATTTTCAGATCAGATTTAATTGAAAATTTGTAAGAGGCGTCACATGCGTGTGTTGAACCTGATTGGCTGACCCACGCGCGACGTCGCTTGCAGGTATCCAACTAACAAAACTTCCTAGCTTTTCTCTATCGTATTGGAAACTGTGAACTTGAGAAGATTTTCGTATCTGTACCAGCGCCAACTAAGTCTCCAAGTTTGGCGACTTTCGATGAAAGAATTTTTTAAAGCAAGAAACTTAAATAAACTTGAAAAATGCAAAAAAATGAACCAATTCGAAGGATATAACTCGTAATCAACCCCAAGAAGCCTATATATGCACATAGTTTTTTGATTTTTTGCACTATTTTTATTTATTTATTTATTTAATTTTTGCAAGTTCAAATACCCTTTGCGCCTGTCAATATAGTTGGTGCAAACAGGTACCGATACGGAAATATCACCTAGAACTTATCATTTTCTAAAATATTTTATCTTTTTTTTAACTCATATACTTACTTTTAGCTCATAACTTTTATTATCTTATAATGAAATGTGTAATTTAAATACATTACTATTAAACTTTAAAATAATATATATTATGGATAATTTTAAATTGCCTGTGGGGCACATTTATTGATTTTATATTATATTTTGATATTTATATTATAATTCTTTAATAACAATTATTTTTTATACTATTCAAGGGGATTTCCCTTTATGGCATGCATTTACATATATCCATATAAACATATAGCTACCATAGAAACTCATTTCCTGCAATCCTTTTTCTTCCCTTGAAGCCCCACTTATTTTTAACTGGTCAATGAAAGAAATCAGATCGAAAAAAAATAATAATATTTCATTTGTATTGTAATGTTTTAAATGTTGGCAAAAATCTTCAAGTTCTACTCTCCAAAAACGTAATGTATATTTTAAATTTATTTTTTGTAGGTGTGTCCGTTGTGTCCCTTGATAAGGCTCTGGAAATCAATCACGTGACAGCCAGAGTAGGGGATAATGTAGAAATCAAGTGTGACGTTACTGGAACTCCGCCGCCTCCTATCGTTTGGAGGAGGAACGACATGGATTTAGCCTCCCTTAATGAAGAAGAAATAAAGGTACTGTTTTTACTGAACATAGGATACTTTTGTAAATCATGAATTACTTATGCATATGAATATAAAAGCAATAAATAGAAATAGCTTTCTAATCATTATATACACTAGAACCTCGGTTGTCCGAAGAAGTTGGGTCCTAACTTACTTCGGAACATTTACAGCATAAGGTTTATAAGTTTAAATCATCCATTTGCATTAATAAATTCCAAAAATCAGGAAAACTTCGAGAAAACCACATAATGTTCAGATGGATCAGACTTAACTATACTCCCATCAAAACATAATACTGCAGTACGGAGCAAATGATTTGAAACCTTAAAAAAATGCTTCATTAAAATTAATAAAAATAGGTAAGTAGATACTTTATTTACGCCGCACTAGAGTTTCACAATGGGTCATTGGCGGCGGTCTGGGAAACATCCCTAATGATGATTCGAAGACATGCCATCTCAATTTTGATCCTATACAGAGGGGATCTTATTCGTGAGGCCAGTTCCTCAATTTAGACATGGATCCGAAAGGGAAGGAAATTTTGTCCAGATCCATGGTATGATCCCTGTATGATGGTATTGATTAGCGATCGACCATTAGAGGTTGTTAGCGGAGTCTAGGATTTAATATCGGTTCCTCCGGACCGGAGTTCGTTTCTCTATCCCATGGGCTATCACGGCCCATATAAAAATAGAAATCAGAAATTAAAATAGAGTTCAAGATGCCGAGAACTTTACGGTAGTTCAACTGTTCTACCGTAAAGCTCGCGGCTTCGTACGCAGGTTGTCCGTTAATCAAAGCGAGGAAACAATCCCCTCAGCTGAGGATCAAAATTGTAATAACGTGTCTTCGCAAAATTGTAATGGCAAATCGCTTATTATTCAATTTTACCTAAGTTTAGAAGACAATTTTTATATTGAATACACGATCCACAATATACATGCAAAACAAAATGGTTTCTTATTGTTTTATTTGCATATGAAAATTTGTGTGCTCTTTACAAAATATCCTTTATAAGCCCTATTAGAGTTTTAGAAAAGATTGCTCAAATAAGAGAAAAATATTACTTTCATAATATTAAAGTTCGAATCTCAGCGTCTCCCATTTTGTGTCTGCTGTCTTTTTCTATCTTGTGCTATCTGTTTTTTTGACTTGACAAGGACACTTTAGTCGAGCTTTGTAATGAGCATACAAGCTTGCCTATGTGCGCGTAACAATAAATGAAATAAATATAAATAAATATATACATCCGGAGTTACAGATGGATTTGAATCCGCTGCCTCAACACTTACATTTTAGGATGATGGGACAGACCTGATGTAGTAATTTTATTATCCCTGATGTAATATTTATGTAGCATCGGTTAAGCTTCGAAAAATACTTTTTTCTTTTACTGATTGTATTTTAACTGTCGTTTGCTAATTATTTTCTGCAACCTAATGGAGAATTTCTAATAAAACACAAAATATTCTTAGGGATCTGATGAAGAAACTAAATAATTAACTCGTTTAATTTCCCTCCGAAAAATATTTAATTACTTTTTTAATTAACTATACTTGTGATAAAATTTTATAAATAAAAGGAAATACAGAGTTAATAAGAATTTATGTACGTAAAGTTAGAGAGGAAAGAATTATTACCTACTACAGTGGGCGAAGAAATAAAAAACAAAAGGTAACATCAAGCTTCACCGAACTTGAAGTTGAATTAACGTGACGATGAAAAATAAAAACAGTTTTATTATCGATTACGATTACAAACACAGAACTATGAAAAAATATTAATAAAAAGTTCATAGTATTGCATTTTTTAAAAACTATTTTTTTATCAGTAATAATACAGTTAATGGCATTACTTGCACTTAAACCATCGTAAAATCAATATTTGGTTTCTAACATTTTTCTTTACTTCCCATGCTATGTATTCAATGGGAAATTTCCAAAAGACATTAATACAAATCTTTTTGTTTTTTTTCTTTCTGGTATACTTCTGATTCTGAAATGAAAACGATATCGAACAACTATTTAGAATTCTAAATAGAAATCTAGTAAGATTACTTAACCCTGACATCAGAGAGTTTATCTAATTCCAATTATTTAGAGAAAGTCTCAAGATAAAAAGAAATAAAGGGGAAGAACTGAAATCCAATGAATAAATAAAATGGAAATCAAACGATGCAAGCGGCAAATAACGATTTAATAAACAACGCTTTGTCCTCAACTTCTTTTTTTTTCTTTATCTTGTGAAAGATTCATTTCACGCTTAATATACTTTTTGCGAATATTGGACGATGTCTTCTTTTCTTTTAATACGGGTCTGATAATGACGGGAATTTGTTACTTTTTCTTCATATTAATTAATAATTTAATTAAAATTGAAATTGGTTTGTTTGTTTCTATGTTTGCATCATTTGTTGCGTAAAAAAGCTCTCTAAAAATAAATAAAAGGCGGATGTTTTATTTGACAGTTTCTCTTTTGTTTGTGAGTTGGTAAAAGAAATTACTTGGGCGGATGTGCTTGATTTGTTTGACAAATTAGGTACTTTGGTGCATTTTAATTATTTCCAATACTTGGTTCAAGAATACCCGAATAGAGAAAATGTTTTTTTACACGCCGTTAAGCAAATATATATTATCACCTTCCGGACAATGCAGTCAAATCAAATAAATCATTTAAATATTCAAAATATTTAACGTAACTAAAATTTCGGTTAGTAAAAATAATTTAATGATTTTAATCAGTTTAAAGTCTTAATTAAATATATTTTTTAACTACTTTGCTGCTTTGCAAAATATTTAACTTACATGCAGATAAGATTTGTTGAGAATAGATGGAATAAAAAAGGTATAATTTAAATAATATAAATGAATTTAATATTTTATCTAACGTTTTCATTCACTGACAAATGCCTTAGTCAATTATTAGCCTTGAATTATTCATCATTTCTTTTTGGTTTTGCCCCTTGCCGAGATTTTAGCTGGTTATAAATGAAATGTATCTCATTTACTTTAGTTTTCGAATAATCATCTAGGCATTATAAAATTAAAGCTCGCTTTGCATATTAAACAGATTTAAATGAATAACATTCTTAGTAATTTGTAATGAAGTAGGAGACGATCGATGGGTAAGGTGGCTCTTTGCATCTTGATTCACAATCTGATCCTATTAATTTTCAATCAGTTTTCTAAAGGCTTGTGCTTTCTGCCTCGCCTTCTAATGACATTTCTATCAGAAGCCTATTGCGCAGTGACCTGACTTTGGTGGTCATTCTTGATTATGGAACACGGCTGGCTCTTCAAGTTGACGTTATGAATGCTATTCGAGAGATTGTGGGGCTCTACAATAGCATGTTTTGGTCGCAGTATTATAATCACAGCATCGCTCGGAATTTCAATTCAATAAGGAATATTTCACTGAATGTCGAGGATTTCAATCATTTATCAGATGCTGTACTAGATGCAATGTCTATTAGTAACAGTGAATTATTAATCTGGAATGTTAGATGTTTGAATCTAGTGTAATCTGTAAAGCAAATATCATTAGATGCATTTATTAGAGTCATTTTGTTGAAAATTCATGCAAGTTTGTTCAAGACGATCAATAAGTTAATTGCTTAAAATAAACTGTGTTTGTTGGCTGCTGTGATATACATATATATATATTTTAAATTTTGGTCTTTATCTGATGCACCTGTTTACTAATGTGTCGATATCCCGATTCATTCATTTGCTAATACGCCCATTTACTAATTCTCTGATTTCACAATATTTTAATTCACTGAGTCGTTTTTTTTTTTTTTTTCATTTCATTTCTTCCATAGTCTTTCGTTTCCTTTCATTTAAAGACCACATTTACGATTTATTCATAATATCTATAGCTATTCACTCATACTTCTCTCAAAGTATCATATATTTACTAATCAATTGTTACATTACCATTGGATTAAAAATTAGGCAAAATATAATTAATTAATATTTAAGCTAGAGAAAAGTGCTACAAAAATGATAAACTAATGAGGAAGGAAGTTGGAAAACATAAGAAACCTATTTCTGGTGAAACTAAGAGCCATTTCTAACAATCGCATTTCAAATTTTCTCTGTTTCCTCAGGCAATCAAACTGATTTTGATGCCTTCATTAGCTTTTGATAGAATTTTTGTTTCCTTCTATAAATATTAATTTATGACTCATCATGTGTAAACTTTTAACAAGGATTCTAAAATTGCATATTAATGGTTAGACATCTAGAATGGAGAACGAAGTTTTAAACTTAAATAAACATTTTTACATGCAAAATAAAACCAAAAGTTTAAGTCGTTCATAGAGCTTCATAAGTCTTAGGAATAATTTTATACTCCAACTATAGGTTCAAGAAATATAAATTATGCATTATGAGTGTATTTGTTGTTTGAAACATAAATATTTTAATTAAAAATTACATATTTGTTTTCGAATTTCATTTTATGCACTTTTTTCAGGTATTTGTCGATGGATCTTTATATTTAACGAATGTCCAATTGATCCATGGTGGAAATTATACATGCCATGCACAGCATAATCGAGATGTTGTACAAACACACGTATTACATGTACACAGTAAGTCTTTATAAAGTTGCATAATTGTTTACTATATATATATATACTATGTCATTAAAGCGAATATTGTCAATAAACCGAAGGAATATTTTTTTTCTCTTGTATTGGTAACGGAAAGCTGAAGCAAATTGAGATATATGTTGGCAAGAAATGAAAGGCTTAATTGAACAGTTCATGTGAAGAACCAAGCTATTTAATATCTTTTGTTTAAATTACACTTAATTTTTGCACAAATGTTAGAAATATTTCGTTAAAAGTGGTCAAATAACAATTTATATAACTGTTATTTAACCGTATTCAAGCAAAACAGTCAATAGCCATAAAAATGATAATATTCATACTATTAAGTGTGAGAAAAAGAAAGTTTATTAATTGTTTTTTTTTATATATATATTCGGTTTGACAATTAAAATTCTATCCACAAACCTAGGCACCATTTAATTTCGTGCAGTTGGGTACATACTGTAGACGAGAGGGCTGATCGGTCAATTTCATGAACGGCTGAACAGGAGTTCGAATTCCAGCGTTGATACCACAATATTTCTTCCGTTCCTTCGATACATGAAAAGTTTCCAGTGTCCTACGGTTCAATCGGTATGTCCAATGTAATCGGTATGAACAATATCCAATCGATGGCCCTGGTCTATTAGAATACTAAACTATCTGTCAAGCGTAAATGGTACAGCACACACAGAGCTCCAATGTTCGTTTTAATTTTATGGCTTAGAAACTATGCCAGTTGTAAATGTTTAGAAAACTGTATTGCTTTGTATTCGTGGTTTTGTAACCGTATCAGTTGTAAATGGTTTCTTTACTGTAAAGGTTAAAAAGGGTTCCAAATCCATAAACTTTATGATTAATCAGATGGACAGACTGTTGACGGTTATTTTAATGTAATTTTAGAATGAAACTTCTGACAGTGCTCAACCTATTATAGAAATTTAAGAAATGCGTTCACATTAAGTGAATGGGAAATTCAACTTTTTCAGCACTTGTCAATCAACATGCACTGCAAAGTAGTAAGATACTAAACACAGAAATTGTCTATTTTGGCCTGATTTTATCAATCCCGTATTTCATTCTTTCTGTTTTCGATTCAAAAAATTCATCTTGAGAGAGATATCAAAACCGTACTGGAGGCATTTTTTTAACTGAAAAGAAAAGTAATATCTATGCAAAAACGGAATTCAGAAATGCCTACAGTTATATGTAATATGAAAATGTAAAACAGTTATTGAGAAAAATTTGCAATATTTCATTTAGTGGTAAATAGGGCGTGAAGTTTTGCTATCACCTGATATTTGATACTTATCGAAGAAAATATAAATTGACTTTGTAAAAAGTATATTATTTTCTTCAAAAACCAAACTCTTTTGAATTGCAGAAAAGATACATCTGTTGCTCCTCGGACTTAGTAGCTCAGAGTTCCAGGAAATATTTTAGTGGAATTGACAATTACTGAATTGTCATTTCTAATACCGTCGTGCTTGAATAATCAAGAATTTTTTTATTTTATTTTATAACCGTTGTGAAATAGCCGTCGAAGTCCTTATCTTACGACAACCAAGGTTCAACTCCGCAGCCTTATAATTTTGAACTCGTTCCATGAGACAAGGGAACTCCTGGATCAAATATTGGAAGAAATTTGCTTTTGATGGGACTAACACGCCCTTGCTTACATGGAGAAGAAAACCACGAAAGCCCCACACGACTAGCTTGAAAGCAAGGAGACTCTAACCCATGATCTGTCTTCCATTTAGGATATTTTACGTCAGCGGTGTGATCAGGGTGGGGAATTCGTATCAACTAGCTATCACTGAGATTTGAACCCGGTTAAACTCATTGGAAGGCTAGTGCTCTATCCCCTGAGCCACCACGGCTCAGAATAAAGTTTTTTTGATTTTATTTTATAACTGTCGTTGAACAGCTGACCCAATTTTTGGGTTTGCGACTACTAATACTCAACTTCGTAGCCTTGTAATTTTGAACCTAATCCAAAAGAGAACGGAACTTCTGGATCAAGTATTGGGTGAAATTTGCCACCATGGAGGACTTTTTGTGGGAAGTAACCCGCATTTGAGTTACATGGAGAGGAAGACCATTTGAACCTCCCACGGTTAGCCTGACGGCAATGAACTCTAACCCATGATCCGCCTACTACTGAGAATTGGCAGGTTATCCCCTGAGCCGCCAAGCCTAATTTGTTCCTCAGAGTTATTTTTATAAAATATTTCTTTACTAGGCACTCTGCTGGCTACTTTACTGCTATTAATAAAAAATTAATAAAACATTTTTAAAAAAAATTATAATGTGACTGACGATATTTGAAAATTACTTAAAAAATTCCGTATCATCGTTTACTTGGAGATGGAATTTTAAAAACAACGTCCATCATCCACTTTTTCAGAAAAGTAAACGCTTCACAAACTCCTTTTTTAATTTGGTTCTCAGATAAAAAAAAAAGTTTATAAATTATCAGCATAAATGTGTAAAAGAAATATTTCCCAGAAATATTTTCAAAACTTTTTTCTTTGAAATTTTGAAAGCATTTCCTCAATTATGACGATTTTTTCCCTCCATTTTCATCAGAATTGGTTGTGTGGTAAATAAGAATATTAGCTTCAAACATATATCCTCGTTGATCGAATTACTATCTCGTATCGGTCATTTTGGCATTTCGTGACATTTAGTGAATGATGGCTAATTACAGTGAGCGAAATAAAAACAACAGACCACCCTGAATAGCTTTTGATCTAAAGATCCGATCTTCACGTTCTAAGACTCAAACTTAATGGTTCGAGGGGGTGACCTCAAATATGCTAATTAATTAGTGCTGACGATATTTTAAGGTTCGAAATCTGACACTTAAACGTACTTCCTCTAAATAAACATACCTTTTTATTGACGAATTTGGATTTCTGACCCCCAAAATATAGGGGGTAGCCACAATCTGGTACCAATAGTTTGGTCACGGGAGTGATCCAAAGCTTCAACACCTTAACGTTAATTTTACTTTTTGTGTAATTTGCCATATCTTGAAAACGTTTTAAACAAATTAAACATTTCTTGCACAGAATTATAAAATTCGTTTATCCAAAGATAGACAATTCCATGCAAAAAATAACTTTTTGTAAATATTTATTACTTTTTATTATTTTATTTAAGAACGGTCGAAAAAATTTTGAATTGCAATATTTGAAGCATTTTAAAGAATGTAATTTTTAGTAGCAAAATGCAAAATTTGAGCCAAATCAATCGAATACTTCCCGAGAAATTTTATTTCAAAAAAGTCAAATACTTAAAATTTGATTTCTGCACTACGATATTCTATTCGAATTCGATTCGATACATACGCTAGACAGGTAGAAATAAGATGAAAAGATTACCTATGAGCACTATGGGCTTCACGGATTAGAGTTTTTGAGAAATTCAAGTATCTTGGTCACGGCCACTTAAAATAATAAATTTTATACTCTCGCTATCATTAAAAAAGACAACTTTAGTCTCACTCTAGAGAACATTACAACTAAAAGTCTGGGTTAGTTGCACTGTTTATTAAGAGGACGCCATACTACGGGAGAAACTTTTCGTCGCGAATTCTCCTTCACCACCATTACTAATTTAAATTTTAAAGGAAAGAAAAAGTGAGTTCAGGCGAGCCTAGAGATAAGTTTCAATTTCAACAAGTTTTAATCGCTAAAAAGAATAATTTCAAAATATCAAAACGCAAACAAATTATTGGAAGAGAACCTTGCATAATCCTGAGTACTCTTCTCTTCTCATAATTTATTTTCATTTTTATATTTCGAAAATTCCGTTTCAACTTCATAGCTTACTCTAGATTTGCCTGAATTCACTTTGTCTAAATAGCCGACCGGCCTGTGTAGAGGGCAGGGAACTGTCCTTGCATCAGAAAGGTTCTGGGTTCGAATCCCGGGCAAGGCATGGATGTTCTTTCCTTCTCTGTACTATCTGTCCTCACAGTGGGAGCGACGTTGGCCCACCTAATATGGTGCCCCTGAAACAGAGGCCAACAAATGCCTGAATTGACGGGTGTTAACACAGGTGGGCATTGGAGAAAAAAAACTTTTTCAAAACACTAAATTTAAATTAGTTATTTAAATTACTTTAAATTCGGGACATGGTTTAGAGGAAAGTGATTTTTGAGAAACCTAGGAGGAAATCATGAAATTTAAAGTGCAAAAAAAGAAATGCTCTCAAAATTTTAAAAATGCAAACAAAATTGTGGCAGGATTATTTAAAACTTGGGGAGAGTGGAGTCAATTGTAACATTTTTTACTTAACTATTTTTAACTAACAAAAGATCCAATATATTATTAGTATTAATTGACAGACGAGTAAAGTAGACTATCCTCTACTAGAAGAAAAAATAAATACCTTATTTTAAATGCTATTATATTAGTTATTAACAATTTTTGACAGTCGTGCACGTGTTACAATTGTCCCCACTTACAGGGTGAATTGTAACAGTTCATAAATTCAACTAAAACATAGTAAACGTAGTTAATTATACATATTATCATAGTTGTGATATATTTTTTTATTAATCAAAATAGTAGTGATATTTTAGGAGTAAAAATAATAATGAGCAGAGACCTAATGGGTTAAAAATTTTAATTTATGCTGTGAAAGGTGACACATAAAATAATACACATGCAACATAATATAAATGATATAGGAAACTATTGGTATTTCTTAAAGAGTTAAGTAATGGTTTGTAAACATAAGATTATTTATTTTTATCTGTTGCAATCGTCCCTTTACTTATTGTTACAATCGTCCCCAAGACGTCATTTCAGCTTCATTTGTTAAAAACAATGCTAGTTGGTAGTTAACAAAACTAATCTTTTTTTTTTTAAATGTTAATTAAGGTGTCCACTTACATATTCGGTTAATAATTTTTATTTGTTTAAACAAAATTACTTTGTTACAATATAATATTCTAATACCAAAAAAAGTACTTACGTGGCGTGAAAATATCTTTTGTGATGTAACTCTTTCAAAAGTACATAAAAATGGTTGCCATCAGGGGTGTACATGTAGATTTATTAAATACACCTTGTGCGCCACCTAGGAACCAAATCTAGAACCCGACACTCGAAATTTTTGCTCTGTTACAATCGTACCCTGTTACAATTGACCCCACTCTCCCCTACGCAGTGGGGAAATTCGTCCTGTCATAATTTGTTTGCATTTTAAAATTTTGAAAACCTTTTGTTACTCAAAATGTGTCTTAACGAAATTTAGTCTTTTACCTCCTTAGCCATAAAAATATTAATCTTTTTATTGCAAGACTTACAAGCTTGATTCACGTTTGGCATCTTTTTTAAGTACATCGTCATTTATTTAATATGAATAGCACGGTCTTGTATGTGTCACACATGATTTATTCATACCTTGCCTTAGATATTTAGTATGATGAATCATTCTTAAATTACATTTATCTACAATACACAAACTGAGGCGATTTTTCTTCACTTGTATATGTATCATCTCTTTTGTGCAGCTATTCCAGAAGTGCATGTCATACCAAAGTTGCAGTCCAGGGCCCCGGGAGAGTTGGCCGAGATGGAGTGTCACGTGATCGGTGTGCCGACACCTGCCGTCTCTTGGCTGAAGAATGATGAAGAACTGAAGTTAATGACAGATAAATATACAATTGTTGGTATGTTGATCTATTTCCTTCCTCTTCAATAATTCATGCCATAAATTTGCAAAATATATATTACTGAGAAGATGTAAAGTCCTTTCAGATTTAGATTATGAAAAATAGATGCACTATTTTGTAAATGATAGAGATGCTTTAAATGAAAACAATTTTTTGGAATTTTTAATGCATTATATAACTATAAAATATATATAATTATTGTATAGTTAATAATGATAGGATTTTACATTTAAATACAAATTTAAATTTAATTTTACCATAAAATTAAATTTACAATGAATTTTACAATTACATTTATTTCACGTAAAATTAAATTTTACATTAAAATCTGTTGAAATCTATAGTTAATACTCGCTTTTTATTATTCTTTTTTAAGTTCTATTCATTTTTTAATCTTATGCGTTTTTGTTTAATTGATATTTACATTTAAAGAAAACGAAGCAATGTTTGAAAACTTGTTTAAATATATTAGGTACTAATTGAAAAAGCACTGGTTTAAATATTTGTTATACTATATTTAATACTTATCATATACCTTAGCATATATGAAAATCTTAAGTCACTGTAATATTGTTATATCTATTAGGTGTTGAATATGCATATTTTACTACAAAACATCATATAGTTATCATCATTGTCAGCAATTAAGTCTGTAACCAAGTGCGATCAAGCTACTTCACAATTAGCAGAAACCTTATACCATAGAATAAAATTTTTATGGCATTCTTATGACAAAATTACTAAGTTGAAAATTAATGCTCTTATACAGCCAGTAGCACTGTGAATTTTATTATATTATGGAAATTTATACAGTACTTTTTTCTCAGTGTATGGGAAAGTAATCATGAGTGTTCATAAATTTAATTGGAAGCCTATTTTTTCCTCATTCTTGTTATTTTTATGATTTATCGTAAATCAAAAAAACTCACCCTTGTATGTCCTGGTACAGTAACAACGGCTATTGCAGAAATTGTTAGTAGGGCGTTTTTTTTTGTTTTTTTTTTTTAATGGTAACAAAAGAATTAAAGTTTTTCGAATGGTTTAAGTACTCAATCATCAGGTTCAATTACAGTTTTAGTGCTGATAGCTTCACAATAAATATTATTATTGAAATCCCAATTATCTTCATGCAGAAATTATTTTAACCAGATGATTGAGATTGTTTTATTATATGTAAAGTGAGATTTTCATTTTATATTTATGAATAATATGCCTGCTCAGTCATTCTAATAAAACATAATTAATGTATTGTATAATTATTGTGCAGAGGTGAGTGATAATAAGTATTTATTCATTTCTTTAGGTAATGGTACTGCACTTCTAGTAGGAAAAATAACTTACAGTGACACAGGAGCATATATGTGTGTTGCAAGTAATCCAGCTGGAATGACCAGAGATATCACATCACTTATTGTGCAAGATCAACCAACTCCAAGTAGGTGCACTTATTAACAATTATTATTTGTTTAATTTAAACCATATCACCATGCATTAAAAGCGGATGTTGCATGGTAATGTTGCTCAACTAAACACCTTGCTAAAGCTGTGCCCAGTGGCGGAATGAATGCAGTACGGCAGCGGGCAACTCATATTTAATTTTGCCTGACAGACAAAATTTCGTTAACACAATTATTTAGTCACGGGCTTGGAAGATAAATCTTAAAAAGTTACCATGATGTTGCAGGTAATTACAAAAAGGCCGGGATAAGCCGCGATGGCTCAGGGGATATAGTGTTCGCCTTCCAATGAGGTTGACCGGATTCGAATCCCAGCGATGGCTGGTCGATATGAATTCCGCCCTCGGCTCGCACCGACCACAGTGCTAACGTAAAACATCCTCAGTAGTAGATTGATCTAGGGTTAGAGTCCCTCTGCCGTCAGGCTAACCGTGGGAGGTTTTTGTAGTTTTCTTCGCCGTGTACAGCAAATGTATGATAGTTCCATCAAAAAATCCTCCACGAATCCTTCTTTATTTCCTTATACAGAGAGGAGTTTTCGAAAATAAATAATAAATTAAACGATCCTCGAAGGCTTAAGTCGTTGAGCGTTCGCCTTCCAATGAGCTGACCCACGTTTGAATCCTTGAGGTAGCTGGTTGGTACGAATTTTGCTCCAGGTTCACATCAACCACAGTTCTTACGTCAAGTATCATGAATTGGATCATGATACTTGAATTGGATCATGATTAATTCATGAATATGGATCATGAATTAGAATCCCCTTGCCGTTGGGCTACCGTGGTTGTTTTCGTGATTTTCATCTCCATTTAACTCAAATTCTGGTTAGTTACATCAAAAAAAATTCCACGAAAATCCCTCTCAAAATTGGACTGAGTGTTTAACTTCGGTTTTAAAACAAAGCTAAAAAGTAAAATAGACCAATTTAGTGCTCGCTGGCCAATATCTTTTCCGGCAAATAATGAATTCTATTATTTTTTTGATATTAAAGTTCAAAGTGAACCACTGTTTTTAATAATGTGGTTTCTTGTTAAAATTTAAATCTTTTTTTTCCAGCCGCTCCGTCAGAGGAGCGCCGCTTCTTTGTGTTCCATGATTGGGGAGTATCTGTCTTCGATCCCGACAACTGTCGGCTCTACCACCAAATTCAGAGTACTGATGTCATACCAGGCACCCAGGAATACGTGTGTGGAGATCGAGGCACCAACTGCTCCTGGGGTCACGCCATCAATGTTGCCGACAGATATGTCTACGTAACGCAACCAACTAAAGACAGAGTCCTTATTATATCTCGTGTTCAAATGGTAGTGGTGGATGTAAGTATTGGTTCATTTTCATAATTTTTTTGTAGAAAACCTGAATCGAGATATTATCTCTTCCTTCATAGCCCTGAAGGGCGCTGAGCCCATGTCCGAGAATTCGTGGGCTCGAACCCCGCCGGCCGAAGACTCTCCGTGTAGTAAAATGGTGACTGATGCACGTTAAATCTGTCGTGTCGCAAAGTCCTCTATGTTCCCATTACAAATCAGAACCTCTGGGAGTACTGGATTGGAGATCGATCGTTCTCTGATTCAGGTCAAAATTACGATCTGTGGATGAATAAATGGATGTATGAATGGGTCCACCCTATGAAACGGGTGTGGCAGAAATCGAATTCTTGGCCATAGATGGCGCCACTGGAAAACAAGAACAATCGCATCCATCTGCCTAAACAGGCATACGAAACCAACCAACCACCAGCAATTTTACCTTGGCCCCAGTTGGTTTCAAACTTTGCTCACTATGCCCTATAAGAGCATCCAATATTGTGATATCTAGATTTTTTTAATATTGGTCCTAGAATGGCCTATATAGAATCTATATTAGCCAATATAGAACCAACATTAACTAAATAATGGATATAAAATAACGGGTGAATCTGACAATTCTATATAGTACCGATATTGGTTATAAAGTGGCTGTAAAATATAGGGGGAATTGGAAAATTCTATGTAGTACCGATATTGGTTATAAAGTGGCTGTAAAATATAGGGGGAATCTGACAATTCTGTATAGTACCGATATTGGTTATAAAGTAGCTGTAAAATATAGGATGAATCTGACAATTCTATATAGTACCGATATTGGTTATAAAGCGGCTGTAAAATATCGGGTGAATCTGACAATTCCATATAGTACCGATATTGGTTATAAAGTAGCTGTAAAATATAAGGGGAATCGGAAAATTCTATATAGTACCGATATTGGTTATAAAGTGGCTGTAAAATATCTGGGGAATCGGAAAATTCTATATAGGGCCAATATCGGAAAAATATTGGCCCTTCGTGCCTTTATTGAGCCAATATTCATGAATATTAGACCAATAATGGCTCAAGTTATTTTCCTGCTGGGGAAGTTATGTTTAATTTGGTTTATGTCCACAGTTGATTTCTTTCGACTTGCTGAAAAAAAACAAAATTATGAAAGAACGCATAATTTTTCTTTATAAAGTAAAATCATTTTACGCATGTTATATCTAATTAAATAGAAGATTCAATTCATTTTCAAAACAAGCATGTTTAAATACGGCGTCCAATCGATAATAGGATTCGTATAGTTCTTAAGTGCTTAGTTTTCATTTTTGGTTCTTAAATTTTGGTGACAGAATTTCCAGTTTCTAAAGTGTTTAAATCTTAATTCTCATATTTCTTTTTTATAGACTTTTGAGTTTTAAAAAGTTTTATTAATTTGGTTTTATTAGTCAATTAAGTTTCAGTCTTTTAAGTTCTTAATTTATCCATTTTTGCTTCTCGTTGCCTAATTATATTTTTTCATTTAAAATTATCGATAACTCTAAAAGTTAAAAGTTCTTAAAGAAAATTTCGAAAAGTTCTTTTCTTTCTTTGTTCGAGTACAAATTCTGGATACCCACAAAAACAATTTTACAAGTTTCGTATATTTTAAAGCAAAACTTTCATTTTTTAAACAATAATGTCCTATAATATTTCGAGAAAAAAATGTTACTAATTAAATGTCAAATTAGTTTATGAACATAATGTTCAGTTACTAGAGCTACATGCAAACAAATCTAAGAATATACTTTCTTAGTTCATCAAAAGAACAATAAATAAATAAATAACAACACGCAAATTACAAACCACTTAATAAACTCAAAAGATACAGTAAAGATCTCAAGAAAATGAAGAGTTTTAATTTCATGCATTTTGATACTTAATACCTTATCAAAATAAAGAAATTTTTGTTTGTTCGTGTTATATTTTATAAAATAAAAATTTTATCACTGGTTACATAAAGTGGAGTTTCCTAGACTGCATTCAATTCTAGTAAAACTTCCAGTTTCTTGTACTCACACGCAATTTCTTATTGACTCAACATGACTCAAGAATTGCGTGCAGTCCACAGTCTTTGCGTGGCCATAACTTTTATGTTCCATCTTGTAGATGCAGGCATATCTTTCGTTTAGTGGTTTTCATTCCATTTTCGCAATTCTTCTATATTTGAATTAATTTTATTATTTATTGTGAAAATGCTCTTTTTCCTGTTTACATTATTGGTAACTCAAAAAAATACTCCATGATGCCAAGCAAACACGGCGACAATTCTTTATTTGATCTTACTTATAGTTCTGTATTGTTCTGTTTATTTTGTGATTTTTACTAAACTATTTTCACTAACTTTCCAATGCATTCACGCGAAACAAATTTATTTTGAATTAAGAGTTTGGATTGAGTTTTTAAAACTGCATATATGTTATTTAAAATTAAATTTTATTGTTGAACATATATTTAGTTAATTAAAAAGGAAAGTGCGAAATGTTTCGAAATAAAATTTTTCCTTCTTGACTTCTTCCGAAATTGATAGTTTCTTCGTTTATTTTTTAAAGCATATCGTTGGATCTTTATATTATATGCATAGAATAAAATTACTAAAACATTACTCAATGTAAAATTAACCGAAATTCAATTAGTCAGATTTCTTTATCTTTTTATTTAAACAGTTTTGACTTGGAACTCAAAACTTCACAGTGAAAAGACAATGGTTCCTTTTTAATTCCTTTTTTTCTTCAGTTTTTGAATAAATTTGCCTTTAAAAATCTCTGATAGGATTGGTCTTCTTTTCGAAAATTGGAAAAATTTTTTTAATGTTTAGCTGTAATTCTGGAACAAATTTTTGTGTGCAAGCCACATGTTTCATTGAGAACAATTATTTAAAATCGTATGTTCATACGATCTTAAATAATGTTTCTGAATGAAACATGTGATATTCTGTTTTCTCTTTATCTCCTGGGATGGAGTGATACTGGGATAGTCCCAAAAGTCGACTGAGTCTATTTAAAAAACATGTATGGATTGGATCAGTACAATACTTTAAAAAGTTTAACAATAAACTCCTTTTGTACCGAATGTATTGTTTTCAGCGAAATTTCCAATCATGGAAAGAGTCATTGTAGGGCGTTTTCAGAGTGTATTTGAGAGCCTTGATGATATCCTCTTTGACTTGTCAATTGTCCCAAAAAGATATTTACCATGCATGTTTTCAAGGATGGAAATGAAAAAAAAAAGTGTTGGAAAGGCACGTCAGTTGTGTAAAGCGACTGGGTCATCAACTATTGTCATTTTTGAATTGACCAGGAAGCGGGACACCAAAAAAGTAAATTGTTAAAGTGAAAATTCATGAAGTTTTCAACCATCCGCCAAGTCAAATCGCGACTATTAGGAATATTTAATGTCTGGAACATTTTTAAAGAACACTCAAATGCCAGTCTGTGTTCAAGAGTACTGTCATAGTTTTGACAATAGAGATAGTTGTTGGCCTTCCAACAGGTGCTGTATCGTTGATGTCCTTATGATCTTAAAAGAATAATGTGCAAGTAGATAGACTTGGTATTCCGATAAACAATTATCTCTAAATATAGTCTTAATCACGGTAAAGTTTCCATTGTAGAATAGTCGCTATTAAAACAAAATTTGGTGGCAATCCATCGAGTGCTGCATGGCATCGTCTTTTCTCACTTGGAGGGAGGCTATTTCGAGTCCATACGTGAATAAGTTGACTGCTCTCATCACCAGTTTTAACTAGAAAGTGTGTACGCAGCTAAGTACATTTGCTTCACAGTAAAGTCGGTGACTTTACTTTTCGGATACACCATGTAAAGTTTTTAGTGCATCGTAGGAGATATTTTAACGAGTGAGATGATCCAATTCAATGATCTAGGTTCAAATTCCAGCAATACCCATTCAACTTCTCTTATATCCTTTTCCGTTAAGAGCATTTGCAACAATCAAAATGGTGATGCCAAAGATCTCCACTATACTGATCATAAATCAAAGGCCTTTTACCCTCGAACTAACACTAATAGGTTCCTGTTCTTCTGTGTAACTTGAATAATGCCACTTGGTTTTACTCTCACAAATCTTCCACAAAATCGAAATCATTTCATTGCTTGACCGTCGAGTGCCTTGAATTATAAAATTAAATCCAACTCACACGGTTGCGATGTTGAAATTTTAACACCGCTTACTCGCTGCTATAAAAAGCTATATAGTAACAAAATAATTGTATCATTTTGTATATCATATGATTTTGCACAATGTCATTTTATTTTTGACGAGTTGTTAAAAGATATTTTGTCTGTGACTCTTTTCTACAATACCCTTGAATGAAAGTCCCAAGGAATTTCTGAATATATGTAATGCTCAAAACCACTAACCACTCCGAAAATTTTTTAAACCTAATATTGAAATTTCGGGACTATATTTCCCACAATCTGGAAAATATAGTCCCAATCTTCACTACTCAATCTTAATAGTTCGGGGGTGGGATAGACCTCATTGCTGATTAATTAGCGCAGACGATATTTTAAGTTACGAAATCAGACACAAAAATGTACTTTCTTTGAATACATATACCTTTTTTGATGGATTATGATTTCTGATCTGAGGTAGCCACAATCTGGGAAATATAGTCCCAATAACTCAGGAGAGCTATGCAAAGTATGTATCCCTTAATGTTAATTTTATTTTTTGCGTAATTTGTCAATATGTCGCATCAGTTTTTTGAGCTGTGAGGAATGCAATTTTCTACATCATTTTAAAGGATGTACTTTTACAAGCAAAATACAAAATTCTGTGCTAAATCGGTTGAATAGTTTCAGAGAAATCGACTTCGAGATTGTCCAAACTTTGGACCGCACTCTTAACCAAACTATTGTGACCTTATTTCTCAGATTGCGGCTACCTCTACGTTTTGGAGATCAAACATGTGAATAAGACATCCTTCTGATTCCATGAGTTATCAGATAAAGAAATGTCACCAAACATTTTATAAAAAGTGTTCCTTAAAGGCCACCTTTAATATATCTTTTTAAAGTTTTTGCCAAAAATGTGCTCATTAGAGGTCGCTAAATATTCAATCGATATACTTTATAAAGAAATGACACCAAAAATTTTATGATAAGTGTTCCTTAAAGGCAACCTTTAATATATCTTTTTAAAGGTTTTGCCAAAAGTGTGCTCATTAGTGGTCGCTAAATATTCAATCGAGGGGAGAAAAAAAAAAAAACGCTGACGCGCAGGAAGGCTGGACTGAAATCCACAAAACCCGCTTGATTGTCAGGGAAAATAGAAACAAATTTAAAAAGCGATTATTTGTTACATCATCAAGCCATCAAACAGGTTTCAAAGGTTTTCTTCTCATCTTTTCAGTAGAGATCGAAGTATTTCATTGGCGTTTTGATTTCATCCTCGCTTAATTATTTATATGCTGTTCCAAATCTGCATACTTTTTGGCAATTATTCTAATAACACATATTAAGTTCGTTCATTACAAAACACCCTATATAAAAGTTACAAAAATATATTAAAGTAACGCATGTAAACTACCCGTTGAAGCAAAACGCAATATCTATATCACCATTTTTTCATACATCAATAAATTTAATTTTTATAATTCGATAATGTACCGCATGAAAAAAATACATTATTTACTTTTTCATGTTTCAATTAGTTAACCTGATAAACGTATAGAGTCTTTCTGGAAATAAAAATTTAACATGAAATATCTAGAAAGAAAAAACACTTGTTCACCAAAGACATAAAAAAAAAAATCTTCTGTTAATCGAAAAAGAAACCCTTAATTTATAAAATTCTCGCAGCAAACATTCATTAAATCTTCCAAAGTCTTATTTTTAAGTTTGTTTTTTTATCACCAACTGCGATTTTGTAATTGGAAAATTTGATATTTTTACTACTTTTAAATTAATGTACAAGACTTGCGAGACTAAAATAATTTGGAAATTCAATTTTCGAAATTATTATTTAATAAATAATTGCAATAGAAGGAAAATTTTATAACATTTTGATATGAAAAAATAATTGGTTTTTGAAAGAAAAAAATTAATGGATTTTTTTGGATTATTTGGATTTAGATATGTTATTCTTTTTTAAGAAATTTCTATTAAGAAACGCCGCACATATCATAAGTCAATTTAAATATATTCTCTTTGAGAAAAAATAAGGTTTAAAAGTTTTAATGCTATTCATTGATTAAAATAGCATTTAAAGGTTTAAAACCATTTAAATGCTATTTTAATCAGTGTATAACTAAAAAATTAAAACAATATGTTGAATGCATTATAGAGGGAATAAACGAAATTACATAATTTCCTCTAATCTTCAAAATAAAGAATATATTATGAATGCTTAAATGAAGTATTGAAAAATCACGCATTTTTTAATTGCAACTAAATAAACATTTAAAATTTATTTCTAGAGTTTTGAAGAAAAAAAAACTGTTTTAACTTTAATTGATTTAGATGTTTTGCAAGGTTTTTTTTTGAGCTTTCATATTGCATTTATAAGAATTACTAATTTCATTCATAATAACAGATTTTTACTGTTTCTTTTTGTCCGAAATCATACTTAAAAACTTTTCGTTCTTAGAAGAACATCACCGTGAAAGTTTCAGAATTTTTTTTTATTTCTCTTTATTTCCTAATAATGCACGTGAGAGCATTTTCCTATCCATCGCAGGATGCAGGATAGCTTAACTGGTGATTTAGCAGGATAGCTTAAATCACCACCTAAAAAATATCTTTTTAGAATCGAAAATGATAAAAAAAAAAAGTGGGCACTGTAGTGGTCTCAAATGAAATACTTTAGCGAGGAAAAAATACACCATCTAAATCAAATGAACTGCTACTGAGATGAAAGGATGTATTAAAAACACCAAAAACTGTTTGATTGCCAAATGGGACTAGGAGGTGGTTCCAATAATTATTATTCAGCTCAAACAGAATTTGATGTTTTCGATCCCACCTCTCTCAGTAGTGAATCCCTATGTTTCAACTTTTTTTTTACTTTATTATTTTGCGACTCCTAATGTCTATATTTACAAGAATTCTGAAAATACATATGAAATGTGGTGATTATAGTTTGTCTACAGTAAGAACTCCTCCCGCCACAAGGCCGTCTGCTGCTATGGAAAAAAGAAAAGCGCATTTCATAGCTTCTCTTCACTTTAGGACTAACACGACAGACCGAAAAAAAAATACCCTTTTTCTCGCCGACCAGAGCCAAAACCTATCCTAAGCACTGACCCCACACCCCTACTTGAAATGGTTATATCTCGTTACCATAGTCACTGCCACTGGTCCAGACAAATGGCTAGGGGAGTTCGTACTTTAGAAAACTATAAGTAATACTATGTACCTAAAAGCATGTTTTTTAAAATAAATTTCATGCATTTTTTACAGTGAATTACTAGAATTTACTCATTTACATTATAATGTCCATATTTTTTTTAGGTCGTCGTAACTGACAAAGTGCCTGTGGATATTCACTATGTTCCCCATCTCGACCAAGTATGGATATTGTGTTGGAGAGGCAGAGAAGACAGGGGTACAAAGACTATACAAATCATCAGAGATGCCAGTCAAAAGAAAAAACATCACACTGTACACCCAGAGCCTGTGGACGGCCATTTTGACCTGGTAATTTCTTTTTTTTATCATATATCGTCACAGTTTATATTTACATTAAATGTTGTTGTAGTTCATTTTCGTCGAACTGGAGCTGCACAATGGGCTATTGGCGACGGTCTGAGAAACATCCCTGAGGATGATCCGAAGACATGCGTCACCACTTCCCCGCATGCGGGGAAGTGGTGATGATGGTGAGGCGGGGAAGTTGTGACGCTGGAATCATGGCGGCAGAAGAAGGGATGAAAGGGAGTTCTTTTCCTCATCCTGCACTAATTTTGTGGTGTTTTGGAGAGGAACGACAGTTTTTTTTCGATGATGGAAACATTTAATAACAAAATGAATTATTTATGATAAGATATGAATAGTTTATGAAAAAAGTATTAAATTTCATAAACATGAGCCCTCAGCCCCGTTCACTCAAGCATAAGCCCCGTCCGGGCTATGCAGTTCAGAAAATAAGAGCCGTGTGCCCTGTTATCACTACCATAAGCCCCGTCTGAGCTAATGCAGTTGATTGTTCAGCAACAAAACGAAGAGTGAGTCTCTGGGTTTACAAAAAAGGAGAGGCGGTGGTGCGCCTAAGAATTTAAGTTCTAAAGAATATTCTTTTTATCGAACTGAAACTATAGAATGTCCATTTCTGCATTTTTATTTGTGCTTTGTTCCCGTTTTTTTTTTATTTATTATTATTATCTGCAGCACAAAGTATACCCTATCCTTATGTGTTGACATTGATTGTTCATCGTGGGTTGCTGGGTTATTCTCTATCATTACGTGCTCGGCGTCCCTAGAAGTTTGTTCAGGGCCGGGATAGCCTGGTTGGTAGGACGTTGGACTCATGTTTGTGAGAACGAAAGTTCGAAATCCGCCGGCCGAAGAATAGTGACTGCTACACGTTAAATCTGTCAGCGTCATTTCCCCCATAGTTCCCATAACAAATTCTACCTCTGGGGGTACTAAATTGGAGATTAATCGTTCTCTGGTTCAAGTCAAAATTACATAAGTGGATAAATGGAAGGATGTTTGAATGGGTCCATCCTGTTAAACGGGATAGGACGTATGTGTGAGGGGCTGAAATCGTATTCTTGACCATAGATGGTGCCACCAAAAAACAAGAGATGCACTATCTGCCTTAAATTTGCTTGGTTTCCCAAACAGGCTTACTGCCATGGCAAGTAAGCAATAGAACACAACAGAAGTTTGTTCGACTTGTTTTGAATCACCCTGTACTGAAGTTGTTTGAATCACCCTGTACTGATGTTGTATCAAAAGGATGTCACACATTGTCTCCATGTCACACCAATTCATTGTATCGTATCGTTGAAATGTTTATTACTTGGTCAGATAACAGGACTGTTAGATGTATTCTCGAACATTTGAACAGTTTTTGATATTTTGTAGCTGTATCTCTAATCGCAGGGAAATCAAAGAGAAAAAGTGAGAGTAATAAATAAAAATTTGATTTTTTTTAAAAATTATTTTCTAAACATAAAATATTGCTAATTCAGCATAGTAATGTATGCTACCAAACTTTGTATCTTGATGTGATAATAATTCGTAACTTTTTCCCCTAGGTCAGTGGTCTCTTAATTCCACCCACTCAAGATCTCGGCCACGGATGGAAATATGGTTATGTTGTCCACACTAATCAAAGAGGAATGTATAAATTGGACCTCCAAGCCATGAAATATATCAAAACTGTAGATTTAACACCTTACAACTGCGCCCCTAAATCAGCTGACTTTTCTACATTGGGTAAAACATTTAATCTATTTAACAACATTTTCATTAATAGCTATAAATTATTATTGCAAGAACACCTCTGAAATCACGTGGTTGTGTCTAACCACGTAGTTGTGCATAGTGTTATCATTACAGCTATTTACTTTGTTTTATTACCAAGCTGTATCAGATCGTATTTAATTGGATACCTTCAAGGATATCACGCGAGTGTGTTGAACCTGATTGGATACTGAATCGTAGCTTAAACAAACGTCATGATTTACCCACGCGTGACGTCGTTTGCATGAATCTAATTCAAAGAGTCACTGCATTATGCGCTTTATCTTCGCTTTATTTAGTCTTCAGATAAACCAAGATTCAGTTCAGCTTTAATTATTGTGGCCATCAACGAGTTAAAATAGTTCGCAAAAGTAATAAAATTCTTGCATGAATTTAGTTTTATTTTCAATTTGGAAGGTACTTTATTTGCGTCACACTAGAGCTGCACAATGGGCTATTGGCGATGGTCTGGGAAACATCCCTCAGGATTATCCGAAGGCATGCCATCACAATTTTGATCCTCTGTAGAGGGGATAGCTTCCCCGATTTAGTAGCCCGACGACCTGAACGCGATGCCAAGCACTTTTCGGTAGAATAGTTTAAAGAGGACCAATACCACACACCCTGGGTTCCTAAGCAGGCTAATCAAAATAGTCACCCACCAGCTTACTGATCGCTCAGTCAGTGATGCTTGACTTCGGGAATCGTCCACTGCAGTTCTATTTTAAGGAATATCATTATGCAACGACTTTTCACGCCGAATTTACACGAGAAGTGTTAATTTTATTTTATATTATATGACATCGCTTTCAAACTATATTTTTTTCATATATTAACTTACAATTTTGTTTACTTCCGAATTCTTTTTGTAATCAAGTTACAGTTCAATCTCATGAAGTAAAACAATAAATTAAATGCATCGATTTTTTTTATGTATTCTATTTAAAGAATAACTGGTACCTTTATCGTTAGAAAAATTATTAAATATCGCATTAGAAACAATTTTCTCTAAGATTAATGTCTTACAAAGCAATACTTGAAAACATGGCCTGCCGTTCTTTTTTTAATATCATGCCGGCGCATTATCAATACAATCCGTTGACAGATTTTCCAATATTCAGCACCCAACGCCGCGATTTTAGTTCAGCTTCATAAAATAATTCTTCATTCTTAAGCAATGTATTTAAAAATTCGCTTGAAACTGCGGCAAATAAATCATCCCTCATCTCGCCATTTTATGGTAATTGCCTGAGTCTTAATGAAACACAGGGGCAGCAGCTATTTGATTTATGATGAGTTGATTAATGAGTGAAGGATTTTGAATAATAAAGCAAGGATTTTAAAAAGAGGAGGAAAAATAAGCTCGAAATTGTGACCTTAAGTGCGAATTCGTTGATGAATTGAACCTCTATTGTGCCTCCATGCAAAAAAAAAATAGTTATTCAATTTATTGGACGGAGATTTAAAGTTTTTCTAAGCCGTTAATTTGTAAAGTATCAATTTATGTTAGAGTCTAAGTAATTAAATAAATGTAGTGCTACTTAGTTAATGGATTTCATCGTTCTTTTCATATGAAGGTTGTTTTTTTTACCCTTGTCCTTTAATTGAATTAAGTTAATTAATTATGCGAGGAAAACATAATAATTTTTTGTAATCATTAAGGCGGCTTAAATATATTTAAAAATATTTCTGTGCTCGTCATCATTTTATTCATTTTTAATGAGCGGGATAGAAAATATTCTTTTCCATGAAACCGCAAATATGTTTACACTGTGATTTGGGTGAAGCTGTGGTATTTAATAGAAATGAGGTAAAAAAATTTTTTCAAGTGAACGGGAAATTAAAGTTCAAAAACAAGATATAGCTCTTGTAGCTCTAACAGTAATCTGTATTCGTTTCTATCAGACAGTCAGATCAAAAGTAAATCTGAGAGTAAATTTTATAAATGCCAACACTCCCCTCAAAGGATTTGATCCTTTCAGGTAAATACAGACTCCATCACCTTTAGCGAGTTACTGTATAGTGCGGCTTTGAGGAGAACTCCTCCAGACTAAAAGTCTAAGTCTGTCTGCGACCATGGTAACATGCAAGAGCACATTTCTAATGGGGGTGAAATGACGGAGGGAAGATGTCGACTGGTTTACTCACGGTGACAAAACAAAACTATTCACCTCACACCCCTAATCGAAGTATCTTTTCCTTCGTAACCATAGTACCCGCTAAGACGCGAGACAGGTGTCTGGAGGAGTTCTCTTGAAAGCCGCACTATACTTAACCTTCTACGTTTTGCTTATAAGCTCATATAGTTTACATCACTCATTAGTTTTACCTTGAGTTCGTAATATTGAATATTTTTCTTGGTGTTTGGCACTGTCTAACAGCTGACAACAATTGTGCCATTCCCGTTCACCCGCTTCATTATGTTTACACTCTTAGGTCTATCATGGTGAACATCATTTCAATATTTCGTCTTATGATTTAAACCTGAATGTTTATGAAGCAAACATATGTAGGCGACCTCTGGCTAAGTTTCATTTCTGCTTAAGAAAATTCTTTTGTTGGGTTTGGAAATCCTGCAGCACATTTTAAAAGAATACACTTTTTTCGATCATAATTAATCTTGCAGTCCGTTTCCCTTCTTGATACTGTTCTTGTTGTGAAGATTAATATTTTTCTAACTACAGCCCTTTTTTAATTTACTTGAAATGTTTTTTATTTTATGTTTTGTTTATCCCCAGCATTTAATAAACTATCCATATCAGATCTTCATCTACCTTTGTTTAACTTCGTAACCATATAATTTTAAAATCAATCCAAAAGACAAGGGAACTTCCAGATTAAAAAAAAACCGCAATTGCATTACAAGACAACGAAATTCACGAAATTCTACGACTGCCACTGGGGATATTTAACATTACTATGTAGAACATAAAGAACACTGAAATAAATATTTTATTTTATAACCTAAACAGCCTGGATCAAGTATCGGGTGAAATGTTGCCTTGATGGAGGACATTTTGGTGAAACTAACCCGCATTTACGTTACATGGAAAGGAAAACCACGAAAACGTCCCACTGTTAACCTGACGGCAAGGGGGCTCTAACCCATGATCCGTCAACCACTGAGAATATTCTACGTCAGCACTGTGGTCGGTAGGATCCGGGAGTGGAATTCGAATCGACCAGTCATCGCTGGGATTCGAGACCGGTTCACCTCATTGGAAAGAGAAAGCTCTATCCCCTGAGCCACCACGGCTCTTGAAATAAATATTAAAAAAGAATCAAATGTTCAATAATCGTAGATACAGTTTTAATCTATACCAATCAATTTTATTAAAAATCGTCGCTTTTATAAATGCCTATGTAATTCAGATGAATGCATTTGATAAGGAAAAAAAATATTAAATTCTTAATAATAATATTAAACAAAATAAAATCTGTATCGATTGCAGCAAAAAAATTAATTTTCGACTTATTTTACAGGTGGTTTTGCCATCTTAGAATGCCGAGAACCCATTACAGACCGACCTACTGGTCAAGTGGTGCTAGATTATTTGACTGATACAGTATTGTCACATAAAACGGGACTTTTTGGACGACCCCATGTGTCACCAGATTCCAGGCATGTTGTCACTCTAGAGAAAAATAATAACAGTGTTGTCATCGTAGCCCAACAGATAACAGAAAATGGTAAGTAAACAAATCTTGTTTCGTTAAGAGTATTGAAATGTCTGTTTACAACGTCAAATCGATATATGTCGATTTCATAGGACATTGTTGTTGTTGTAGTTCATTTATTACGCACTAGAGCTACACGATAGGCTATTGTCGACGGTCCGGGAAACATCCCTGAGGATGATCCGAAGACATCCCATCACAATTTTGAACCTCTACAGAGAGGATAACACGCCCGCTTCGGCAGCTCGACGTCCTGCACGCGAAGTCGAGCACTTCACTGTAGAACAGTTTACGAGAACCCTGACCGTAACCAGTGATGCTTGACTTCGAACAATGCATACTATTGTATAACATGTAAATTAATATATTTCTTTAAACGCGATTGATAACATGAAAAAAAATGAACGACTATTTAAAAAATCAATTTTAAAAAAATAGAAGATCAAAATATTGGATTAGCAAGAAAGTAATTTCGGTTTTTCAGTGCGAAATAAAACTCAATTTTTTTTTCTATTCAAAAAATCAACTTTAATGAGTAAAATATTTTCCATTCTGTTTGTTGAGCTATTTCTAGTAACTTCATAACCTCGCATTCATAGAACTACTGATTCTTAGCAACAAAAAAAAAAAAAAAAAAAAAAAAAAAAAAAAAAAAAAAAAAAAAAANAAAAAAAAAAAAACTCAATCAAGTGAAATTTAAGGTCATCATTATTGCCGAAATTTTTACCGTTTAAAATGTTTTGCAAGCTTCGAAGTAAATGATAATCCGATGATGTAAGATTGAAGTTACATGAGGGAGCGATGCTACTTTATTATCTAACCAAGCTCTGAAAATTTCGTACTTGTTGCTAAAAGGTATGCGATGCGTCGCATTGTCGTGGTGGAACATGATTGATTTGCGATTACGTTTGTAAAAAATTCGGTAATAACAATCACCTCGAATTGCTTTTGATAGAGTTTATATTTTTTTGCTGATAAAGATCAGAAGTTACCAGAAAGACATCAGAGATCATCGAACAGAATAGATTATTTTTCTGTTCATACCAGAAAAACGAAATTACTTTTGCCAACCGGTTTCATGGGCTCCATTTAGGAAACAATTTATTTCACATCCTATTTTGGTCAGCAAATGACGGCAATGCTGACAAAAATACTGTAAAACAATGTTTTCTGATGCAAATGGGACCATTTCAACAGTCAATTTTGTCCTCAGATTGCACCAAGTTGTTGCTGCTTGAAAACATTGCTTAATAGTTTTTCTTAGCTCCATCTGTTGACCAACTTTGTAATTTATTTTGAAACTTGACAAGATTATATTTTTCGGTCACTAAACCCGTATATTTCTATCTCCTTCTATTTTTTTTTCAATTTAAAAAGAGTTCGGGACATCCGGTACACAATAAGATTTAAAATTTCAATTCTCACATATAATTTTTAAATGGTGACTTTAAATTCATGTTAATGAATCATTGATTGTTAATGCTCCTATTAGAATTAATTATGTAACATTTAGTAAGTGTTATTAATTTTCAATATTTCCCTCTCCTTCTAGGGCTCCGATTTCTATTTGACGTGAAAACCACTTTGCAAATTGGGGACATCACCTTTTTCCCATCCAGGACCACACACAATTACGACCTGTACGCAAGTTCCTCCACCAAGGAAGACATCCTGTTCGTCAATTTAGCAGATGGCAAGGTAGAGATGATCACGGGGATCGGCAGATCCATGGATCCAGGAATTGCAGAATGGGGCAACACCAATCGCCCCATCTCCAGTGCAGGAGTATTTGGCACCTACATGGTGACCACTGCCAATGAGGCCATCTTTGTAGTGAACGGCAAGACCAGAACCGTGAACTGTGAAATAGGAAGCACGGTCCATCCAAGAATGGTGGTTTGGGCAAAGGCTCCTTGAAGGCCGGAGAAATTATCTGTTTCTCACCTCAAGGTAACAGGCCCCCCTCTTGTACAATGACCACGCAGACTGTCTTCGGGGGGTAGCCATTCCTCCCAGACAACACCTTAGCCTTGCAGTAATGGCTTTAATGCGCACGGATGAATTGACAATTTCTAGAAGAATGCCTTGATATATTATCTCTTTCACGAAAACTAGTTATTATTCTATTTGGATGTACCTTTCGTATTTTGTGAGGAAATTTTTTTTTCTCTACTTTTTTCCTTTGCTATATCAGCCCGAACTGCTGACCGGGAAAAAAATGTGTCTGGTGTGCACATGAAATTATTTTGTTGTTCCCACATTTTGTATTATTCAGTGAATATGCAACTACTTTTGCTCTGAGAGACAGTTCGATTCAAACGTTTATGGAAAAAAAAAGTTTCCAAATGATTTATGTCACACACATTTTTTTCTCTGATCACAAGCAAAAATCAAAGCACTTCTGCACTTCGGCTCTTGCTTTGCAGTATGAAGTCAGTTTGCTATGGTTACAGTTTAATTCAATACTAATGAACGCTTTTTGTTTCTGTTAGAACTGACTTTTTACAGGCAATTTTAATGAGCCGAAACTACTTTTGCTACAATGGATGTTGCACTAAAGCTTCTGCCATAACTGGAAATCTCCCGCTAAAAAAAGCTACATTCATACACTTTTAATTTTTTACATGAATTAAGTTTCCAAAATTTCTTTTGACCTTAAATATGATGAGTTTCGACGCATTTATGAAGTTTTTTAGTTTTATCTCCTAAAAAAAGTCGTGTGGATGTAGCTTTTGAGATTTCAGAACTACTGCACACGATACTTGTATGAATGTAAAGATGTCCAGTGTATACATGTATTTTTAATTTACATAAAAATGTGTACATTATATTTGCTTCTATTTTTAGTAGGCTAGCTATAGATTTATTTAAAGAGATATATTTAAATTTTAATAAAATGAAATCAATTTATTCTGGCATACGAATTAAAGATTATTTCTAGGACATTGTAATTTTAAAAATTATATGCCTTTCATATGCTTTCTGTATGCTTTAATTTGAACAAAAATCAAAGTCAAATTATAATCAAAACGATTTCTTTATATTAATTTAATGCTTTTATTTCTGAAGCGAATTAATGAAAGCATATCAATCGGGTAATATTTTTAGAAAATTTATAAAAATGGATAAATTTCATAAAATACTGATTTCAATTTAACTCATTAATGCCTAGTTTTCTTTTTTACGGATGATTTAAAAACTGCATAGAGTTAAAAATTTATCGCAAGTACTTATTTTGTTTGCATAAATTAAGTTGTCAATAAGTGTTTGGTAGATTTTTATTTTTGGTACATTTATTCTCACGACTCTTTAGAAGGGCACCAGGACCATAGGTCAATATGACCACATTTTACTAGGACATTTTCACCAATTCGAAAATATTGTCCAACTTTAGGCAAATTTAAAAAATTTTCTTTGCCAATGAGTTGCAATATATGAGCTGAATTTTCTTTATAATAAACGACAACAACAACAAAAAAAAAACACAAGCTTAAACGGAATCCGAATATATTAAATTGTAACAAAATTTCTCTTTTAGTAAATGAACTGGTAATTCACAAAAACTGTTACTTCCATTGCTGCCAAACACGAGTGTTTTTTTTTAGCAAATTTAAAATAAAAATATTTTTTTGATGAAATTTTAGCGATGAAACGTAAAACAATTTAATGCTAATTGCCGACAAAAATATACCATAGCAATTCCATTCATCACAATAAAAATTTTCCATCCTAAAAATATAAGCTCGTGACTGGCGATCTTGCAATTTGGCAAACTAGCTGTTGAGAAATGGGCATTAATACGTTAAATTGAAAATGAACAGAATAGCCATTCTGGAGAATTGAAATAATCTAACAACTTTAAAATAAAAATTAACCCCACTACTTAAAACAGCCTGAAACTACAGAGGAATAAGGATTAAAAAAAATTAGAGACATTCAAAATTATTATTAATGATTTCGATGTAATTTATTAGCTGTAAAACCCATTCATACGTTTTTTGTTCTTTTGTGTTCTGAGAGATTGGAATAAGAGTGCACATTTATTATATGAAAGTCATGTTATTCCTCATTTTATAAATACACATTCGAATGGCAATAATAATGATTATTTGAATTAGTATTTTGAATTATATATATTTAATAATTGCAATAGTTCTATATGAAATGAACTATTACTAAAATAAATACCTTCTTTCATGATGTTTTAAATAATTTGCTGATGATGAAAATAATTAGAATGTGCACTACAATCCTCAGAACTTTGATAATCATTTGCTTTGTATGTCTATTTTCTGTCTAGTCTCTGAATTCACTTGTATAGCAACATGTACAGTTGACACATCACATCTAAATAAAATGAATTTCTGACAAAAAATTTTATTCAATTCTTTGTTTTATGTCATTAAATTTCAAATAAATAACTCGAAAAATACAACCAGTTTGATATATGTTGTTTAAATAAAGTATGTTCATACTCAGAGATTTTAGATGTTAACAATATACTTGTGCTAAAGCTTACATTTTAGCCTTTTAAAATAAATAAAAATTCTACTTTATAAAAGTGTAAACACTAATTGAATTTTAATCTATAAAATTAGTTTCATAGAGTACTCCTGGCTATCTGAGGAATTATATGGTACAGGAATTTAGGTTCAAAAGAATTCCAAGGCTAAGCCAAAAAATGACCAATAAAACTAACTAAACTGACTCAAAAAGAAAATAACTCAAAAAATTTCTTGAGTAACTTTTCTTCTCAAGTGATTTATTTTACTTTTTTTCCCAAAAAAACCAGTTTACATTTATTTAATTTTTTAAATTTTAAAGCACCTTTTCTGAGTCTTGAATGTAGTTCATTTATTCTAACATTTGGTGCACAGCGATGCACTGATTATTTTGTATGTGAATCTCAAATCACCCCTTTGCAAAGTAGCCTGAGGAAATAGAACTATACTAAAGGGAGTCTAAATATATTTCACTAAATTTGATTTACTATAACATTGAAAAAAATAGTATGCTTCTCAATAACTTCAACTAAAACATTCTTTCTCAAAATTTGTTTGTATTTCCTATGCATACCTTTACTTATGTACTGAAAGCTTACAAAAAAAAAGACAATTGAAAAAAGAATGGTTTAGAAGGGAATAGTTTTGTTGCATTTTGCTTCAGGAACCAGAATTTATTTTCAAATTGGTGATGAAGTTCGTTTACAAGGCTGATTGAGTAAAACTATAAAATAATGTTTCTTTCATTTAAAAAAACAATAATAAAAAAATTTATGCAGTCTAAAAACATTAACAGATGCCATATCCAAGCAAACATATTAGATGAAATTATCCAATATGCTAAAGAGAACATTTTATTGTTTTGCAAAACAGTACATCTCTATATTCCTTTCCAATTTTTTTAAAATTGACTTTCCAAATCATTGGTAATATCTAGATCAGGTTTCCAATTTGCATGAGGCTGGGGGCCGCAATTAAAAACACCAGTCAAATGGCGGGCCGCAACTTTCTCAAAAATTTATAAAGGACTCTTTTATGTTTGAAGGAACATTAAATATTACTGTCAGACTTTTATCAAGTCGTAGAAAACAAAAGTATTGAATTATAAATAAAAATAAGAAGTAGAATTTTTCCTGAGAAAAATTTTTTTTTGCACCGTTGGGTTGGTATGTTAAATTTCACAAAAGCGAAGAAATTAGGTTTTTTTTTTTAACGAAAAAAAAGTATTTTAAACCCATATAGATTTTTTTACGAAAATTGTAAACAATAAAATGACAACTAGTGTATTTTAGTTCGCGGGCCACAAAAAAAGGTCAGATGTGGCTCACGGGCTGCCAGTTGGTAACAATTGATGTAGATCAACTAGCAGCCAAGTTTAATAGTAGATTTCATTGAGAAAATTTAATCAGTTATAAATTTTTCCTTTCATACTTTCCTTTAATAAATTAATGTTATCTATAACAAAAAGAGAGAAAAAGGAAAACAATGGCATATAATATGAAGTTTACTGTAGTACAAAAGAAACCTCCAGGAAAAAGCACCTGCATGTAGCGAGCACCTCCATTTACGACCACTTTTGTGAAGCGCAGAATTTTTTTCCATAGACTTTGTGTTGAAGAAAACCTTTTAGAGTCAAAATCTCTCACAGTCATCTCTTCTTTTTGACGATACAACCTCATGGTGCAATCAGATTGCACTAAGAACGAAGCTATCGATGATTTACTATTAGAGTAGAAAGTTAAACTATAAAAAAAAAGTTATTTTAGAAAAAACAAGCATCTCCAACAAACAAACCCTCTGCTCCTCGTTTAAAGAACTCATTTTTATGATATAAAATTAAATGCAAACTTAAACAAAAACATAACTCTTTCATTTATTTAAAATATCCCTATCATTCATAAAGGTAAATTTGTTTTTCTACATAATTATATCATTTGCATAGACTTAAAATTTCATTCATCGATCCATCTTTTTATGATGCCAACAGAAGTGGCATTTCTGCACCAGAAAATGGCACTGACTAAAATTAAAATCGTTTGCGAAAAATCATGAAACTTCAATAACAATGTTGTCTCTGACAGTAACTTCTTAATACAGTACAGAACCCGTTATCCGGAAATCAGAAAACCGGAAAACCAAAAAACCGGAACGAAATTCGATAAATTTTCCCGCTACTTCTAAAAAAAAATTTTTTTTTCCTCATAAGATTTTAGGATTTTTCGTTCTTTTTTGAAAGATGTTTACCTTACCATCATTTTGGAAATAATCATTAGTGTATTACTTCATCGTTTTTTCTTCTTTTTAAGATTATTTCCAATTTTTCTTTTGTTTAGTTGGTTTTAACAATAACTAAAACGGCTTTTTTTAGCGATTCAGAAAACCGGAAAAATCAGTTATCCGGAATATCGATGGTCCCGATCGTTCCGGATAATCGGTTCCCTACAGTACAATCAACTTTCCTCAACGACCATTTTACTCTGGAAGGGAGAGTGGTCGCTCCCAAGAGTTTTCACTGCATATGAGCCCTATCAATGATATTTTAAAAGTTCTCTTTATCAAAAGATTAAAGAAACAGTGAATTAAAGATTAAGGGTGTTAAAAAAAAAACTTAAGATTTTTTTTCTTTCGAAATCATATTTATTTTCACAGATAAAAAACAAGCTTCAGGATATATATATATACAAAGGAATTTTGCTGTTTTTTTTTTTATACAGTTCACATACATTTAACGTTTATCACGCTTCTTTTTAGTGCACAACTGGTAAAAAGGTAAAAGAATATATCAATATTGCAGCAGATGGGTTATATGCTTCACAATATGACTTTGCAATATACAAGCCACTACAAACTTCTAAAAATTTTAGTTTATAATTTAATTTCAAAGTATACAATAATGAAAAAAAGAAAAGCAAGATCTAGTAAACAAACGGCATCACAGACTAAAGTTTTTGTGGTACAAATATTCAAATATGAAGAGCATTATTATTTTTTTTTAAATTATTGTACTACTAACAGACCAATTATGATTACAATATTGAAATATATACTTCATTTTAGTTTAATATTTATGGTAATTGACATGAATATATATATATATATATATATTGAAAATAAGCTGGAATATTACAATCTTTCTCTTAGCATAACTATTTCTGAAGAAAAAAACAAATAGCTAAGATTTATCACTTTGATATGAGTAATATATGTTCAAAACAAATTTCAGTTTATTTTTTAAAACCCGACAAAATTTAATTTCAATAAAAATATTTTCCAAAACAAAAAGTTATGCCCTATAACACAAGTAACTTCATAATTTATAAAATATTATTAATGATATGCAATGAGAACTGTTAATATCATATTACATTATTAATATAAAAAGTCGCATAAATTGTATGTTTTTTAGCAGAGTAGACTTGCTTTCCTGTGTTATTATGAAGGAAAATTGTGTAAAGGAGTTAAGCATTTGTGAAATCTTGAAAGGACTAAAAGCTTATGACTATTAAGCCGAAAATGATAGGTTAAAAATGCAAAAATATTGCAATAATAAGAGGTATTCAAATATAGTTCATGATGTCAAAAATCAATTCATATATTTCAATTATCAATTGGTTAATGAGTTTTAGCTCTTCATATCGATTTATGAATCAATTGATATGTCTATGCATATCAAATAAGAGGTAGGAAGATGAGATTCGTCACACACAAAACAAATGCACAACAATACATAATATTATTACATACAAATAAATATCGACTCAACATCGAATTATCAATACTGATTCATTTTGAGCTTTCAAATGTCTTGGCACCACATACAATCAATTTTAATGTTCAATTTTATATGAAACACTCAATCACGTCAAAAAAGCTCCAAGAATTAAAGCTTCTCACTTTCAATTTTGTGCTAAACACACACACATTGTGCTGCAAATCATGGGAGTTTGATCTACCTATTCAAGCACATAGGGAAAAGGGCAAAAACATTAATAATTTTTAAAAACAATTCTTTCTTCCAAGATGGATTTACTTGCAGGGCCAACGATGTATATTTTTGCCCAAAATTTATTTGTACCATTATCTCTTACATTAACACGCAATAACAACAAACAAAATAAACTGCAAAATGCATACATTTCATTCCAAATAATAATTTTCAAATCAAAATTAAAAAATAAAGAATAGTTAATTCTCTTAAAATTGATTTCCTGAATGTAAAAATCACAGATTGTGTGGTACAGAGTTACATGTTTTATTTATTTTTTTAAATTTATAATTTCAACACATCAGCTGTCTATAAATATATATATATTTAAATATAAAACACGGAGGAAAGTTTATGCTGACTTTTAAAAGTTAATTAACACATGACAGTAAAATTCTGATATCCTTAATCATAATTCATACATTAAAATAAGGTTCATTTAATTTCGAAAACCTATTTCCATAATTTTAAAAGTCTGCCTTTCCAGAGCATCTCAAGTTTTTCATATAGGATATCACTTTGCAAAGATTGAAATAAATGAAAATCTGAGGGCTTGCAGTCTAGAGTATGGGGTAAAATGCCCCTAGCTACAAATTACGAGTTCCGAGTAATCAAAGAAACATAAGCCTGTGCATGTTTCTGAATGTTTTTGTTCAGTTGCTGTCTTTAATTTGTCTGAGTAGCAAGTTCTCATCACAATTCTCTAAATTTTGTCTTGCGTTCAATATTTCAGATATAGCATGTATACAAAATTGTCGTAAACTTACCAGACAACGCAATATTCAAGCAACTTAAAGCATATTTTTGTAAAAAAAATTGGGTGGTATAATAACTTAACTTATAACTTTTTTTTTTAAATATATTTCTTAAATATTTTACATTCAAATGAACAACTAACACTGATAAGTGAAAATTTGTTACAGAAATTATGCTTACTAACTATCATAAAACATGGAAGAATCTTACTTTTCAGTAAAAGTTTTACAAACCAATTCAATATATTAAGTTAAATATAAAATAACTTATTGACAAAAGATGAAGTGACAGAAAATGCATTCACACAATCTTTTAAATGATCATAATACTATGATAAACATAAAATTTACTCTTAATTTAACAGTCCATATTGTAATAAAAGTGCAATAAATCCTTTTTAAATAAATTTGCATATTTACAAATTCTAATGAGTTAGCAAGATCTATCTGTATTTATGAGCATTTTATATAATTCCATTATGCATAAGAAAATTCAACCAAGATATTTTCTAGTGACAAACAACGTTTTACGAAAACAACGTTTTACGAAATAATAGTTGCAGAATTATTTTTCTGGAGATTAACTTAAACATATAAACCATATTCCATACAATTTATTATATTTATTAGTTATATTTATTCTCCCAAATTTGCTTATTTGTGTGAAACTTGGAGAGTTCATAGTATTTATAAGTACTTTATATAATTCCATTACATGTAAAAAATTCAACTAAGATATTTTCCAATGATAAATATGAAAACTTCTATGATGTTTTACCAAATAATAGTTGTAGAATTATTTTTCTAGACATAAACCTAAACATTTAAACCACATTCCATATTATATATTTATTCTCATAATTTTTTTTTATTTGTGTGACTCCTGGAAGGTTTATTGTAAAATGATTAAAAATTAGAATTCAGAAAAACATTTAAATAACTACTTTGAATTTAAGGGCCAGGTTTTCAGAAATGTGATGGTACAAAAAATTAGGGACAACATGAAAAAAAATTAAGGGTTTTGCTAACAAATTAATCAGAAAAATTTATCTAGACAGAAAAACTATTGATTTAGACAAAGTAAATATAAGATAACATCAAACTGCATACACCCAAATCCAACACTCATTCAAATGATAAATTAAACAAAAAGGCATGGTTTATACTACAATCAACTTTTATTTATTTATTTACTTTTTTACCTTCCAACCTATCAAGTGTTTATCTTAAACAGAAATAAAACTACAAAAAATCATTAGTCGTTAAATGTTTGGAAAAACATTTAGTGTGAAGTAATTAAAATATACCAATATGTCATTCCCTCACATGTCCCCACTGCNATTTAGACAAAGTAAATATAAGATAACATCAAACTGCATACACCCAAATCTAACACTCATCCAAATGATAAATTAAACAAAAAGGCATGGTTTATACTACAATCAACTTTTATTTATTTATTTACTCTTTTACCTTCCAACCTATCAAGTGTTTATCTTAAACAGAAATAAAACTACAAAAAATCAATAGTCGTTAAATGTTTGGAAAAACATTTAGTGTGAAGAAAGGGGTGTGAATCTGGTGTCAGCGAGTGATTAAATAATTAATATTATTTTAATTTCTTCGTTAATCAGAAAAGCAATAATTAGCCCAACATTCAGAAATGAAATCTTGCATCTATGCAAAAAACAGCAACCAAAACCTCAATATAACTAGTATGTGGATTAATAGCTCTATAATGAAAAGTAATTAATGTTTAAAGTGATTAGTTAATATTACATTACACAGTTATACACTACACAATTCCATCTACATTTTTTTCAATTTGAATACAATTGATGGTATTTAAATTGATGGAATTTAAATTCAAAAACAAAAGGATATTTAAATTATTCGAATAATTTAAGAAGTAAAATTATTTCATTTAAATATTTATTCCAGACTGCTGAATAAAACTAAAAGTTTCAGAATTGCAAAATAAAAATAAATTGATATATTCAGTATTTTTAAATTCATTTGTAAATTTCATTAATGAATCAATTAATCTGTTTTGTTCGAAAACCCTATGTTAGAAATCATTCTCCAAAATGCCTGACCTTGACTGCATTCTTAATACTAAAAGAATAAATTTTTTTTATAAAGATTCTGTCAATTGCCAAAGTGGCAGATCTGCACTTTTGGCTGTTGTTGGTGATCAATTTGCGAATTTCGCAAATCACCAAGATGTTCATTATTCACTTGAATCGTTAGGATCTTAGATTTCTTTACTTTCATTTTAAATAAACGAAAAAAAACATTTATATGAATCAATATCAATAAAAGTTAAAACTTTAAAAGGAAATTATAGTATTTTAAATTACTTCATACTTACATAATGACAAAAAGATCTTACTAACACATCAAAAAAAATAAAATTCACTTTACTATAACGTAAAGCCAAATATAAAACAAAACAAAGAACTAGATTAAAAAAAGGTGAACGATATGCAATTTTCCTTTTCAATAATTTGAGATAGAAAATCAGTTCACAAATAAAATTATCATACAATTAATATGATAAATTATTCAAGAAAGCAACATACTTTTCATTAAAAATTAAAACATAACCATTTACAAATGTTAATTTACTTGTAAAACTAGTTTTGTGCAAAAAAATAATATTAAAAAAAATACAAATAGTAGTGCAAAAATACTTTTTCAAAACTTCATTAAAGCTAATGAATATCACTTTCTTTAAAAAACAGCACTTTTCATTTAAAAAAAAAAAAATGCAGTATGCATAATGCTTCTCAATTCACACCACTTTAGGTATCCAATTCACATGTGTATACATATAAGATATTTAACATTAAAAATAAAAATCTGATCTCTATTCGAGTATATTTTTAATAATCATTCAAAATATGCTAAAAAGGTAATTATTTACATAACTATACGTATGATACAAAAACATATTAGAAACAGGAATAGGGATAACGATTCAATCTTAAAATAGAATATAAATTTTAATTATATCAATTTCACTCTTTGGTAAATGTATATGTACAAATAATTTGTAGACTCACTTTTAGGTGAGCTTTACAGACTTATAAAAAATTAGATCAAAATTATAAAAAATAAGATGACTATATTCATAATTTTCCTAATAATAATGCCGGTAAGTCTCATTCCTTAACAGTCTAAGCTCAAGTTTTATACGTACAGTCAGTCCCCGTTTATTTATTATTGAAAACATAAAAAACAGAAAATAAATACAAAACAAAAATCGTCTATTAACATTTTTTTTAAATTTTCACATAATGCTAGTTTATTGAAAAAATTCCAGAATTTAACCTATGAAACAGGACTTAATAAATTTAATAACTAATATACATGCAAATCAAAATAGTATAACTAATATTTTAGAATAGTAATAGTTTACTGCTTAATATTTCACAATGTTTGTTACAGAAAGATTATATAAAAAAGCAATAAATATTATAAAATTTGGATGATGATTCATGTTATTAGTAAGTAGTTTATCATTTATTACTTTATAATCTCTTAAGTTAGTCTGAGATTTTTTTCCAACAATGAATTCAAACAATTCTGGATTTCTTACAATGAACTAGTGTAGACAAATCATAGTACATTTAAAAATGCATTCTTGAAATTCAAAATTAATTTTTTTTTGCTTCACTTTTATCTTAATTTTTCTAAAAATAACATGAAAAATTACGACTCAAAAATCCCTTATATATTACAAACAATTCTAAATATTAATACATTTAACACTTTTTCGCAAATAAAAAAAACTCAGCTCTTCATTAGGATTAGATTGCTAGTAAAAAATATGACATTGCTCCTCTCACAATTATAATCTAAGATGATCTATTATGGCGCATTAATCACGATATATCCGTAGGCGTTAATCTATTTTCATTCTAAAACATTTGTTTTTAAGTATGGCTGTATATTAAAATTTCTAGAAGAATAATTTCCAAAGTTTACCACTCAAGCATTTATATAACTTCTTTCCATTAACATAATATATTTAATATAGTAAAAAAAAAAAAATTTAACCAATAAATGAAAAAAAAAATTTTTTTTTAATTATTAATTCAATTTTCTAACCATCATGGTATTAGGAACAGGATTGCATGATTTTTATTATTAAGTTAATAACATCTTCAAAAAATGCAAAATATGAAGGTAAATTTTACTAAGCAAATTTTCTACATTGCACCAGTGAAAATGTTTATAAAGAAGAAATCATGACAATTCTAAAAATATATATAAATCTGAAAAGACACACATCACAGAGTAAATTATCAAATTTTTCAATTTTTCTTTTGTATTCCCTAACAAAAACACTTCATAACTCTGTACAGTCATATAAAAATGAAAAAATTCAAAATTCAATACCGTCGTTCGATTTGGAACACATCACGATAGTGCAGCTGTACACATTTTGATTGATTTATGTTACAAATAACTTACCAAACAAACATTTAAATCACAATTTTAGTGCTACAGACAGTATCTTTGGTGACAACACAAAATTCGTATGTCTATAAGGAGGACAACACTTCCAGATATCTAATTGGGTGAATAGCGTCTTGCAGAGATTATTGCACCCTTGTACACTTGGGCGACTAGATGAACCGCCTGAGACAGTCCATGGGACATCTAAAAATGAGATTCTAACTACTTAACAGTCACCTGAAATAAATAATATTTATATATCATAAGACTATAGACAATATCACTTTGCTATTTGCAGGGCTGCCACAAAAAAAATGAACAAAATAGTTGCTTTTAGTAGCCTAAAACATGAAAATAGTAGCCAAAAACTCAGAAAATAGTTGCCTAAATAAGAACAAATATTCATCAAAAATATGACTAAAATTTTGTTAATGACTTAATTGTCATATACCATGATCCCTTCAGTCAAGTTGGTGGCAAATATGATAATTTTTATATAAACGTAAATATATATATATATATATATATATACGCATATATATGTGTGTAGACATATAAAGTCTATATATGTAGACACATATATAGACAAATATAAAGAATAATTTTTATCTTAGGATAATTATTCTTTATTCAGATATATATATATATATATATATATATATATACACATGACAAGTGATTACTCAAATTCTAAATTCACGCATTGTAATATGGTATTAAAAATTTTTTTTTTAAATCACGCGGAATTTCATAGTTATAATCATTGAAAAGGCGATCGAGAAATGAAATAGACTCACAATGGAGTCTGTGGAGATTGAATGGATTAAAAAGTGAAGACTCAAATTTGCAATTAAAAATTTTCAACATTTTTTATTTTTTAAGAAAATAAAAGTTAACTGCGTTCAAAAACTATCTTGTGGGGTGCAGATTATCCACCCAATTTATGCTTTAAAATATATATATATATCGCTAGGAGTACAGAAAAGTCTCCCAATAGTTTCCTTTTCCTGAAAATAGTTGCATTTTAGTAGCCTGTGGCAACAATGTATTTGTGAAGAATTCAAGTATTAAATAATTTTAAAAATCCATTTAAATATTACATAAAGAGATTAAATTCAATAAATTTTTTATAACTTATAGCACTCTGTAATTACAGAGTAACAAACAGATTTCTCTTTATCTTTCCTTTATTTTCTCCTTCTTAGATCTCACTTTTATTTTTCCTCCTCGGCAACTTAAGTTATTACATTATAAATCACTTTTGTTTCTTCTCATTCAGCTCTGACAAGTCTTAAAAATGGACGCCTTATCGACTGTTATTTCCGATTTGTATATTTTTGAACAATGAAATTTTTAATCGAGTAATATCTTACCGCTTCAATATTGATGGAATTGTTGATGTAACAGGGTGCGTAGCCAAATCTTTCAACAAGAAAATAAGCACCTTTTAAATGTTTTTTAAGCACTCAAAAAATATTTTTAAGCACTATATACATTAACAAAATGCAAAATAATTTTCAAAGACTTTTCATGATCATGATAAAATAACTAGTTTCTGACAAAGAACTCTTTTTTTCCTGATTAGATTAGCCTTTAAAAAATGATCAAGAGATTTTTCGTTTTGAAATCAGAGGATGGAAAATGAAGCCTAAAATTGAGAATATCTTGCAAAATGCAGAGTTGCACATGAGAGTGCAATAATATCACCGAACCCAGCTCAGTATATATGCACACACGGACTCGCAAGTTTCTCATCAAACACGTAAAATAATTGAAGCTTTGATACGCTATGGTCCGACGGTATGCTGAAATAGATTGTGGTTGAATGAATTGTGAAAAAGTTGAATAGAACCATTTGAAAAGCAAGTATTAGAACAAAATCTCATTTTCGAAAAGAGAAAATGAAGCACTTTTAAAAACACCCAATGAAAAAGCACCTTTAAGGGCTTTTAAATAACAAAAATCTAAAATAAGCACCTTTAAGCACTTTTTAACAATGCTACACACCATGTTGAACAATGACATTTTTAATTAAGTAATATCTTACCGCTTCAGTTTCTTGGGATTGTTTACTTAATATTGATGGAATTGTTGATTTAATTTAAGTAAAAGATAAAGTAATTTAAGTAAAACTAGATCAGATCATTCATTTCACATGAAAAAAACTATCCTTATTATTATTTGAAAAACAGATTATTATTATCCTCAAAAATAAAATCTGTGGTACAATATCAAGCCTGTATTCATTAGAGTAGACTACACGAGTCTCTTCACATTAATGAATTCAGACCAAAATTTTGAAAACTGAACGCTACTTACATTGATCCACAGTACAACATGGAATGATAACACTTATTCTGAGAATTTTTTCATGCTGTGAGACCCACTTGGACCTGAGAAGTTAAAAAAGAAAAAACATTGAAATCATAATGAACTAGTTAAGACTAACTGGCATGTGGCATAAAAGATTAAAACATCAACATACCAGATGCATGCCTCTTTAGGTGTGGTGGCGAGTTAGTTGAACCAGTAGAGCTGTTGCTACGGCTGTCGAAACTTGCAGAACAAATTCCTGAATCGGTATCGGCATGTTGCAAGTGATAACTATCAGATGAGGTAACAGAACCTAAAAAATATTCAATATCACAATAAAGAATTAAATAAAATCAGTAATTTAAATACAATTAAAAACTATTGAATATTGCATAAATATTCCAGACACAGATTGTAACAAAATTTAAAGATTATACATTTAACATGCATGCAAAGAAGGCATTCATAATGCCCAAATCAACAACCAACGAAGAGTATAATTTTTTTTGATATAAATATTCAAACTACATTTTTATTAATAATCAAATTTAAAATTTATTAATTAATATGATAATTTAAGAAAACATACAATAAATAAATTTCCACACAAAAATTTGAAAACAAATGTTATATCAAGATTATCACAGTTCTAAATGATATAACTTCAAATGAAGCATCATTTAATAGGTTTTAAAAAAACTTATCAAACATTTTTACAATGTAAACAAAAGGAAAATTAATTAAAAAAATTTGCACTTCCTGTTAAGTTTTTCATAAAATTTTCATAACAGTAGAAAATCTATTTAACACAATTCTAAAAACCACAATTCTTCATAAACCACATTAGCTTTACAATTCCTAACCATGCCAAACCAAACTTGATAAAGTTGTTGGATTTTATTTCTAACGCCTTTAATGATTTCATTTTCTTTTTGCAAAGAATAAATAATTAAGTGTATATTTTTATGTTTTAACATATTTTTTACTTAAAAATTATTTTAAAGCCTTTATTGATTCGTCTAGATATATATATTGCCAGGTTTAGTAGTTAAGTTTAATATGAAAAGATCTACAGATGACAAGATTCTAATTAATGCAAAACCTCACGTGAAAGGTTTGCAAAGATCTTCTACTGTATATGAATCAGTTATATTTAAAACAAGTTTGTGATGGTTAAGTCTATTTCAACATTTCAATGGTTATTATTTACCATATTGATGGTTAAGTCTATTTCAACATTTATTGACAAATTGTCAATAATGGCAAGAAACGTGCACAGAAAAAAAAAGCAAATTTTTCTCGATAAGGAATTTTTAGTATTAAATGTTGTATATTGTTGTAACACCACATTTGTCTGCTGTAGAATAAATGTTTTTTTTAATTTTTTTTTTAAAAAAAATTTTTAAAAAAATATCCCACTTCTGGGAAAACAAAGCAACAATAAAGTAAACAAACAACTTTAGGATCTCTAAGTCAGTATTAATGAATAAATGTAAATAAACCACAAACAAAAAAAGTACACTATATTTTTGATTCAATAAACAAGAATATTTCACACATTGAAACACAAAATCATCATTTTCATTTTGTGTTCCGACACTAAGGAAGGTTCATGTTACAGAACTGACACTCATATTATTTATAATATGAAACACATATTATTCAATATGAGTTTCATATTTATAAACTCATATTTATTTGTGGAAGAAAAATATTTCAGTGATATGAAATGATATAATTAATTATTATTATATTATTAAATTATGTAATAATCAATTAACAAGAAAGAGAGAAGTGTTAGAAAACCCAGAAAATGATGGCTTAAGAAAGTTGAGAGAGACCTAAAAAGAAAGATGAGGAATGATAAGTTATGAGATGTGTGGTGAGGGAGGCCTAGATCACTTATGGGCTGTAGTGCCAAGCAATGAGAGAGTAATAGTAAAAAATTATAGATGATAAAAAAATTAAAACAAAATATTTATTATAGTTAAATTATAATGGCATTTCGGCAATTACCTGATGTTTGGGATTTCTTAATAGAGGCAGCTGCAAAACTAGTCACACTAGAACTTTCTGCATAGAGATCTACAGGTACAGCTATGCTCCCCATTTCAGCAGCAAAGCTGGGACGAGGATCATGGAAACGACGACCAGTCACCGGCGACAAGGACGGGGACTCTGACACAGGAGGACGCAATGGCTGGTGTGGTCTTACTTTGTTCTGGTCTGATAAAGCAAGAAGCTTCCTTACAGCCTGCGGGGAATCAGCTCCTACAAAAAAGCATTAGTCAAAAAATTAGCACTATATAAAATGCCCGATACCATACATAATTATCATTACTTGCCAGTAAATATATCAATATCAAATACATAGTTTTTATGATAGTTGATACTTTTACAGAAATTTATTGTATGGAAGATGAATTTAATGTAGGCAAAAGTAGCTTTGCTTTGGAAATAAGTCACAAAAACAAAAGTATAAAAATATAATTTATGCACGTACCAAATTTGGAACTATTGCTACCCTTTTTGATATCGGAAGAACTGCTGTTACTGCTTGCTGCAGATAAGGTTGGAGATGGTTGACGTTTTCTCACTTGTAATGTGCCAATCCCTAAGCAAAATGCCACAAATATATAAATCACATGCTATAGTTAAACACAATGCATAACTGCACAAATAATGCAGTTGAAGTTATTTGTGCATTTATAAAGTTTTTCTCTATTTATAACATAGCAGGATAAGATAATGTCCATATTTTGGATTTATAAATTATGCCAAATATTTTCAACTCAGAATATTAAAAAGTTAAACATTTCAGTTTCAAATAATTTAATAAATACCTTAACAGCATTTTGTCTGTTTATACATTTCACTACTGTATAATTTTGTTAACACGTTGAATGCCATGGGGGTCACGTCACCACTGACCGGCACTGAGTTTGTTCGTAGTACCACGGGGTCACCAAAGACAGGCGAAGCCAAGATTATTAGAAACACAAAATTTGAGTAAATTTTTAAAGCTTTTAATTTTTTTACATTATTATCGTTACTAAAATGGTTTGAAGAAATTAATGCAATACATACTGAGAAAATCCTTTAGGTCAGACGGGCAAGCCATGTGAACTGAAGATGTTCAACATGTTAATTAGTACAAAAAATATATATAAATTTTTTTTTCCTTTTTTAATAGGATTATTTTAATGTAGTTTAGTTTAAAAGGAACATAAAGCAGCAACAGATTAAGATTTATTATTTTTTATTTAACATTTTTGAAGAGATAGTAAATCAGCTTTTTCTCATTGCTGTAATTAAATATCCTAATTCATTATATGGGAAAAACAAGTGTGAGAAAACTTTTATTGAACTAATTTAAAAAGCATACAATTATCCAATGCTCTTTTATTTTTATTGTCGTTTATTTATTTATTTGCTTCATACAGTGATTATAATGAACCTAATGAACAAATTCTGCCTATAATTTTGCAATTTTTTTCTTTTTTAATTTTAAGGTTGTGTTTAGCTTATTAATTATACATCAACTTTCATATTTTTTTAACAATGTTAAAAAAGATGTTTCAGATCAGATTAACACAAGGAAAAAGAACCAAACATAATATATTTAATATTTTGTAAATATTTTACATAGAATTTTACAAAAGACGATTGTAAAAAATAATTCAAACTCAAAGATTTTTAATGTTAGGAGGCACATTTTCTTAGACTGTGAAGGAAATCTAACCTGCTGTAATCAGAGCTTCACATTCATTTGACATTGCATGAAGTTGATCCTCATCAGTAACAACTTTCAAATTAGACAAATATGCCTTAACTCTACGAACCATTTGCGCCTGGAAAAAAAATAAAAATCATAAAATAAGCAACACATTATTTTCATAATGAATGACAGAAAATAAAAATAGACATACTTCCTCAAACATCTTTTTGGGGTTTGGTTGAGCAGTACTCTTTTTCCGTCTCTTGACAGTTGCAGCATTTGTAGTTGTAGCAAAGCTATTAAGGGATGCCATGGCAGCAGTTGGATGCGCACCACCACTTTCAAGCATGTTAAACAAATCCTTCAAAACATAAAGTTTATTTTAGAAAATCTTGAAATATTTTTCTCTTTTGTATAGATTTAATATGTTCACAAACGTTGAAAACAACAAATGATTAATTTTACGAAAACAGTTTATGACAAAAATTTGGTTATGTTATCGTGAATGACAGAAATCAAGAGAGTGTCCACTTTCATCAGTGAATGTCAACTATCACACAGTCGCTTTGGCGAATGTCCAAAATATTTGTTACATTCAATTTAATATTAATTTATTCGTTGATAAACTTAAACTAAACTTATAACTAGAGCCCAGATTTCGATGACCTAAAAAATCTCAACTAATGCCCTTAAAAAGTGCAAAAAATGCCCTTAAAAATGCAAAAATTGCGCAAAAAATGCCTTAAATAAAGTAAAAATATTGAATTAAAAAAATGTTTTGCTCTTTAAAATTATTATGAGTCATTTAAAAAATATAAAGCAATGCAATACTTGTTCTACGTTCATTAAAGTTTGAAAAATATGTTTTATATCCTAAAATAACAAAAAAAGGAAAATATATTGACACCAAAATATTTTTATTTTGTATAGAAACTTTAATGGATATAACAACTTCCATCTCATAATATTACTAAATATCAGAATTACATTGGATTATTAAATGTTTTTTGATAATTTGAAATGTAAACGAGCGTCTCTTGTCTGAAAGTAAATTTTCATTCCTGCAGAAGCTTCTTTCAACGTCTACTGATGTTATAGGTGCGTACTTGAAAAAGACGGTCTCACTTACTGACAATTCTTCTTCAATTTGAAAAGATTTTGCTTCACCTGTTAATATCCTATAGATTTTCTTCATTGTTTGGAAGCCAGTGTAATAATGAAAATTGATAAAAAATAATAAAAATTGGAAAAATTTAACAGAAAACTTTAAAAAAAGTATTAAAATGCAAAATACGCCCCTAAATTTAAAGAAAAATGCCCTATAAATCTAAAAAAATGCTCTAAAAGACAAAAAATGCCCAAAAATGCAAAAAAATGCAAATGTCATCAAAATCCGGGCCTTACTTATAACTATTATAAACTTATAACTATTATATATTATAATAATCAGATTAAACTTATAACTATTACTTATTATTAAACTTAAACTTATTCAATATTATAATATCTGCTCTGGATAAATTAGGAGAAACATCAATGTTCGGAGTATCGGTCAAATGCATACTGGGCAGTGGCACTTGACCTTAAAAAAACATTGATGTAGGGTATATCGGGCAGTGGCACTGAACCTTAAAAAAAAATGTAAACCATACTGGGCAATGTATACCAGGCTGTGGTACTTAACTAAAAGTAGTATATATTTCGGACATTTAACGAAGCGACTATGGTTGTCAACATTCACCAGTAGAAGTCAACAACCAGCAATTTCGGTCATTCAGAGTGACAGTTATATAAAATTTGGCCAATCTAAAAATATTACTATAAAAATAAAAAAGAATTTATTGTCTAAATGTTGTATTCAATAAGAAAAAAAAAACTAGAGAATTGAACAAATTTTTCAATAACCCATTGAAGTAGCACTATAAAAATATTAGTTAAGTTAAAGACATCAGTAGGAAAGATAAAAATTCTTTAACAGAATTAATATGCTATTTTATGAAAAAAAATCATTAAGAAATGGAATTGAAATAATATTCACAGAAACTTTTTAAACTTTAAGTCTCAAATTCTGAACAATTTATTTATAGATAGCTGTTTCATGTATTGCTGCAGTACAACTAAAATAACTCCTGAAATGCTTTTAATTTTTAGTGTTTCATTATTCATTAATGATTTTCATAATAATGATAGCCTTAATTGATTTTCATAATAAATACCATTCAGGAAACTAAAAGTTGGAATGCATTTTCTGGAGGAAATAAACTAATAACATGACGAGTAGAATTATGAAATATTAATTTTTTGAAGAAAAAAAATATTACAAAAAAAGTGTAGGTAAGAAATCTGCATCAAAATTTTGAAACACAACAGAACTATTCCCTGCCTGTCACATTCAGATAATAATCATATTAAAAAAATCTACTCATCAGAAATCCTATTTTTATTTTTCATCTTATTTAATTATTAATTTAAATTTTTTAATTTTTTTTATCCTTAAGATTAAAAATTAAAAATATTACTTTCGATTCATTTGTATGGCTAATCCAATTTAGTTTATTTCATAGCCTGTTACCAAATCACAAGCTAAAAATTGCTACTTTAAAGCATATTTTTAAAATGAAAATAAAATTAAAATCTGCAACAACCTAAACATAGAATGTTATATTGCTGGAACATTCTTGTGAGTAAGTTTCGGTTTTCATAATTAAAAATTAGCTTTATATAGTTTGAAAAGTCCAAGAGTAAAGATAGGGAATATTCATGAAATTTAATACATTAAAAAACAGCATTTTATACCTAATATGATTTTTGATGATGATTACAACAATACAAACAATTGAAAAGTCAAAAACAAAACTTACATATGGTGCAGAACACATGCTTGCAACAGTTCTGATTTCTTTAGCAACCATTCTAAGCTTTTCAAAATTCACCTAAAATAAATTTTACATTATTTATAATAATAATAATAAATAAAAAAATTTTATATTCTGTAATATCACAGAAGAAGGTTTTGAAATTTAAAAATAATTACTCCATTATACAGCATTTCAATGAGAAGAGGAAAAAAAGTATTACCTTTTTTTTTTTTTTTTTTTTAGAAATCTTATTATTTTTTAAACCTGATTTATGTGTTAGGAAGAAAGCATAGATATACCTGGTTGAAAATTACTTGGAATGATGAGGCAAAACCAGAGAATACCAATAAAGTCAGACACATGTTTGTTCGGTTAATGCTTATAACTACTGATGATAAAGCAGTTTTTTCTTATCAATTTTCTCATAATGCTGAAAAGCATTAAAATTCTACCTTATAACTTTCTTTATGTCACTTAAACTTGCAAGTTAAACTCAGATTCTAAATTTTACTTAAAGAACTTAACTACTTCTGTTAGACAGTGAGCTTTTTATTATTTCTCATTATAATAATAACGAGGCTACTTTTTTCCCTTTTTAAAAAGGCTATTAAAAAGAGAAAAAAGGAAGAAAGAAAGTTTTAACTTTTTTTAAAGTAAAGAAAAACCTGGTTGAAAACTACTTGAAATGATGAGGCAAGACCAGAGATTACAAATTAAATCAGACGCATTTAAGATGTCTGGTTTGTTAATAGTTAAAACAACTAATAATAAGACAGATTCCTTTTTTATCTATAGTCTTGTAATTTCGAAAAGTATTAAAATTCTACCTCAAAACTTTATTTATGACAGTTAAACTAGCAAGTTAAACTTAGATTTTAAATTTTACTTAAAAATGTAACTACTTTTGTTAGACAGAGGGTTTTTTATTATATCTTATTATAATAATAAGGCTATTTTTTTCCTCTTTTTAATAAGGCTATTTAAAGAGAGAGAAAAAAAGGAAGAAAGAAAAAAATGCAATCTTATTATGTTGAAAAACAAATAAATTCTATTTAAAAAAATTTTAAAACGAAGAGATTTTAAGGAGATATGCTCAATATTTTTAATAGAAAATAAAATGCTCAACATTTTTCGTTTAAAAGCATTTTAGAAATTAAAAATAAAAAATTTCTATCAAGTTTTAAAATAACTATAACAAACTTTATGAGAAAAATTTGCTTCCCTTAAAGACAGTTATAATTATTTAAAAACTTGAGAGAAAAAATAGTTTACTTCTTTACATTATAACATATTGTGTCTAAATGTTTCATAGGGCGATTCCACGAAAAGTGGTCCTGAGTGACTAAATTTTCAAAATTATCGCAAAATCAAAAATGACACAATTTCGGAATCTAGAAGATGTACATTTTTTAATAGTTAAAATAGTTTTTTGAATTACAAAAAATATTTATGTGAATTCTAACAAAAGGTGGAACACTATGAATTTTAACAGGAGTTCTCTTCTTTGTTATGTTATATTCCAATGGAGTTCTTAAAATATTAACGAGCAATAAAATAGTTTTTAGTAATAAATATAACTATTTTACTCTTTTATCATTGTTTAATGTATTTTTTTAATTTGGCCTAAGTTTTTTTGCTTGCTTGAAAGTCGATTAATCAAGATAGTCTAATTTCCCAGTAACACACGTAACATAATTTTGCATTTTTTTCTGTAAAAACTTTAGTAAAAAAGAAAATTTAAAAATTTTTTGTTTTATAAATTAAGAAGGCAAGGTATGCAACGAAAAAAATTCTCGAATTAAAACTGCCAATAGTTAAAATTTTATAATTAATTTTATTCAAGGTAACACACGTAACGAAAAGTTACGCGCGTTACTGTTGTGTGTGTTAGAGGCACTTCTACACTTTAATTATTTATTTATTTTCAATAAAAGATTTAAATCATGTTCGGATATTTTTTATAACCGTCGCGCAACTTCAATGTCACAAATACGAAATTGTGAGATTGTGGTTTTTTGTAAAATCAGGTCGGTATAAGCATTAATAAAAAAACAGCATAATAAGACGATAATTTTGAAACTTTTGGAAATTGTTTTCCCAAACTTCTATTTGTTATACGTTTATGTTTAAGTAGAATATTTCGACTGCATTTGCTAGATTATTATAAAATGGATAAGCTTAAAATAGTGTCCTTATCTGGATTTAAAAGAATAAGAAGATGAAGAAAAAAAGAAAAGAGCATAAGATTCTGCACTTCAAAGGAAAGAAAATAAGGAAATAATGAAAGTTAGACTTGAACTTTCAAAACAGATTGATAATGATGTAAAAGGTTCACCACTAAGTATTTCAGATGAACTTAATTATTAATAAATGGATTTTCTTCAAAAGTTAGATTGTTTATACTATGCTTGTATTGAANATTAATTGAATGAGCAAATAAATATTTTCACCACAAATCCACCTCTATTTTTTTTCCCGCTTTTTTTGTTTGCTTTCTCTCCAGAATACAAGAAGAAGCGACGTCTAAATTACGAAAATACGAGCTATCCCGCCGACGGATAAAAAATACGGAGAATCTTATTTTCTCTGCGTGAAATCGGAGAAAATAGCTAATATAAGTAAACATGCGGAAGGATTAGCAGCTAGGACGTAGTTTGAATTTTCTGTTTTTCTTTGAAAATCGTAAATAAATATAATAATTTGACTTCAACGACTGAATTTTTTTTAAAAAAAGGGGATATTTATAAATAAATAAAAAATAAAAAAACGAAACTTTTAAAGAATCTGAGTTTTTGATAAAAAGGCTGAAATTCGAGAGACAAAAGCGAAAAAAATTTCATCCCTGTATAAAGATCAACCAGTTTTATCCCAAGGAAATGATTTTTGGAGAAACTTCAGAGGGAGGAATGAGGACTTCAATAATTTCGCTCCGCGGAAAATTTAATTCCTCATAAAATATTTTAACTTGAACAAAAAAAAAATTTCAGCGGAAATTAGCGGGGAAAATGGAAAAATCTGAGAAAAAGCGGAAATCCGCGAATCCGCGGAAGAATCTCATCCCTGCTCTTATTACACATTATTCAAATAAATTACTGAAAAATATTACGTAGTAGCAAAAAATTTGTTATTTTTCATTACTATTTGTCTTGAGAACAAAAAAAAAATTAGTAATCTTTAGCTGATCAGCAATCCTTAATATCAGATATGGAAAAACTTCCCGACTCTCAGATAATTTTTCCTGAATTTCCGTTATTCCGCTTTTTAAACCTGTCTAACCTGCCATTCGAGCACATAAAAGTAGTCTCATAAAATCGTAGCACTTCAGTAATGCTTCTTCAACATCCTTGTGATCTGCTTTTCTCAACTTTTTTCTGCCATCAAAATTTTTTTCATGAGCAGAATTTATTAATTGCCTATTTCTCCATATGTTACAAACTGTAGATTTGGATAGTTTATATTCCCTGCAAATATCAGCTTGATTGCATCCATTTTCAATTTTTCTGATTATGCCCATTTTATCATCAATGGAGAACGTTTTACGTTTACTGCTCGCCATAGTTAAATTTGAGATGCTTGTTTGCAGGATTTTTTAAACTGAACTGAGAGCAAAAAGGAGTTGAAATGAGGGCCTTATCAACACATATCAGTTTCCAACACTTTGACCAATAATGAATAATTGCTCATTCCCTCTGACAGAAAATGCATATTGATCCCACTGACACCATCGTCTGCCTGGGTTGGAAACATCTGCTTGGTTTGTTTAGGGATGGAAAAGTGAGATAAAAGAAGCAAACAAGAAAAAATGCTTATCGCTACATTACCCTCTGTAGATGGTNGATGGTTTTAAAAATTGGTATATGTATTTATTTTGAAGTAGAAATTTCAAAATTATTACAAAAAAAGTAAGTTGAAGACTGAAAAAAGTTCATTATATCCAACTTCCTCACTTTTTTGGTTCACTATATCCACAAAAAATAGCATTATCCATGCATAGCAAGGCGCGGGACCAAACATTTCGTTCACTATATCCGGGAGTTCACTATAAACCGTGTTCACTATAGCGGGGTTTGACTGTATTAAGAATGGTAATATAATGTATGGTAATATTATATTGATTAATATTATGAATATGAATGATTGCAGAGGGATAAAGAGATTGAGAATAAGAATACAATAAATATTTTAAATAGGAGGTAATTTTTTAGTAAAAAGGAATACATAAATATAGAAATCCCGGATCCTAAGTACTTTTAATATCCTAAGTCTAGAGAAATCACTGTCTCTTTTAGTAAATATTGAAACAGCAAAAGGTAATGCTTTATTAAACATTATCAAAACCATCATGGCTTTTGATAATTACGTTTGACTTCATGTTTTACAGATAGCCTTGATTCAACAAATGAATTACCTCAATCTCGAAGTTCTTCTTACAAATGAATTCAGTTTTATAAATATTTCCTACTGTGGAAATATACAAAATAAAAAAATAAGACAATTTTATCCAAATAAATAAAATAAAAAGCAGAAATAGTTTAGAATTTTTATAGAATGAAGCTTTAGATTTTTGCCTTTGCTAACATAAATTAATGAAGTAAGTTTTTTTAATCTCATCATATGTTATCTTATCATCATGCATAGAATCATGTATCTAAATAGTATAAATACAGAATAGTTTGTTCTAACTTCATAATATTTAATGATTCAAAGACTGATACAAAAAATTCTCATTAATTAAAGCTTCATTAGTATGCATTTTTTGTTTTATTATTTAAAATACTTTCAATGTATCAAAAGATCTAATGAATATCTATGAATATAATGAATATCATCCATTAGAATTTAAACACGCAGTAAGTATGAAAAATATTTCAAAGACCAATAAAAAATATTTTTACATAAAATAGTATAAATATATATGTTGTAATAATCTACATAAATGTTTCTTTTTAAGAACATGTTTTTTTAAGATAATGCTTCTTTTTACTTAAAGAACAAATTAAAACTATTATAAGAAAGTAAGTATAACACAATTTAGATGTGCATTTTAACGGCAAAAAAGTCAAACAGCAACGAAAAAAACTTTGAATATTGGAATGAATAATATAATTAATATTTTTAATAAAGAAATTTTGTAAGCATATTAATACTGTTAAAACAGAATATTAATTATAAAATTACCTCAAATAGTTTTGAGTATTTTGATGGTAGTTTCTCCCATGTTAGCCTTAATCTTGACACAGCACCATGCCCCAAGCCACTGATAATTGCAAACATAGAATTGAAATTTTTACACTCTTTGCACTGCCCTAAACACAAATAAGATTTATTATTACTAAATAAAAAATTTAATAACACAATATATCAACTAAAATATTATTATTGGTATGAAAAAACTAATAAATTATAGATTTAAGAGCTTGTTACAACACTACAAAAACTGAATTGTATCATTCGAAGTTTATAGATCATTATAGTAGTACTCCTAAAATACAGCCAATATCTAATGTCTTCATTTTAAGTTCATTTATAATATTTTCATATAAAATTTAATAATTACATTTTAATTTAGTATTGAAAATAATTTTAATTGTTTTAAAAAAGAAAGGCAAAATTTGTAAAAATATTTAACATAAAAATATTGATATTTTTAGAACACTAATTCAAGAACATAGTTTATTTACATAAACTTACTTGCTACTTTTATGAATTGTTTGATGATTCTCATCCTACGCAACAGGTTATGTTCAAAACATACTTCAGTAACTACCCAAAACATCTCACGATTTACTAACTATTAATAAATATAAAACAGATATGAGCTGATATACTAACTGAAATATAATAAACAACAGCAAAATTTCAAATATCAGATATTCATTAATTAAAATGTATATATAAACAAGCAACAGCTTTGTGAGAAAAACATGCAGCTAAAAGGAATGCGTCCTGAGGAGAATCTTTACATTTTCCCATAAAAAAAATTATTTTCTAATTCTATTATTTCTTCTTCTTCTCAAGCACGACAGCCCCTTACAAGCCTTGGCTGCCTCAACCACACGTAGCCTCCAACGCCTTCTGTCCATGGCGACTTTTTTCCAGTTGTTTATCCAGGGTGGCCACTCGAATCAGATTTCAAATTTCCCTGATTTTTCCAGGTTTTCCAGATAAAAATCTTAAAATTTCCAGGTTTTTGTTTCTTTTTTCTTATAAAGTATAGGATGCGTACAAGAAAAGTGTCTATATTATAAAATATGTTATTCAAAATGTTACTTTTTTAACATATCATACTTGAAAAAAATAATTTATTTTGACAATTTTCAAGATTTTTTATTTATTTTTTAATGTTTTGGTACAAAATTTTGAATCAAAAATCATATATTGACCAACAAAGGAGCCTTTTTTTAAAATTAAAATATGTTATAAGAGGTTAAAATGAAATAGAAAAAATTGCCATTAATGCAACAATTGTAACAATTTGTCGACAAACATTGCTGTTAGCGATTGTAAAAAAATGTGTGATTCGTTGGTTTGCTCAGAAAAAATAATTCACAGATTTCTTTGAATGGGAGTAGAAAAAGAAAAAGAGTGCGATATAAAATCTATTATCATAAAATTTAACCAACTAATTTTTGGAGAATTTTANTTAATCTTTCATCAGCCTCACCTAACAAACAATGGGCACAATTTTTTCTCTAAATAAATTTTTTCAACTTTAGTTAGCTCAGCTAATTTTGCTTTTATTTCATCCTTTTTAAATTACGAGAAGAAAAATCCCAAAATACTCAACAGAAACAGTAGATTTGGGATGTATGAAGTTATTGGGGGAGGGAAGAGAAAAAGGAGCTTTTTATCTTTTACTCTTATATAGAGTGATTTAATAGTACCAAACAGGCACAAGTGATGTCAACTTTGGAAGTCGACTATTACCATACTTGGTGCACTATGAAGACTAGGGATTGTGTTTTGTTCTTTCACTTGTTTCAAAGTATAAAATGAAATTAATATTTTTTTCTAAATTTAAAATTTCNTTTTTTTTTTTTTTTTTTTTTTTTTTTTTTTTTTTTTTAAATGTAATTATTTACTTAATTCCATCAACTTCAACAAAAATTTTAGAAAATCATAAATATTTAATGAAATTTATTTTTCTAGGAATTTATTGAAAGCTTAAAGAGTCCTGCGAATTCTAAACTTATTCAAAAATAGCATCTACTCACCTCAACAAATTTAGATAGCATGGGCATTCCATATCTGGAGTTTACCTCAAAGAGCTCATCCACGTACTCTGTAGGTTCAATTTGGCGAAAAATGCTGAAATCTTCAATAGTTAATTGTGTTGCTAATTCCACACTATTTAAATGCAATAAATGTACTTGACTCTCCCTTAAAAGTTCCTAAAATGCAATGAAGAATAATTAAGAAATTGAAAAGAAAGAAAAAAACAATTGAAAAACTTAATGATCAAATCTTTAAATGGGAAGGTTTTTAATGGGAAAATTCAATTTGTAAACAGCTTTTTTGTTGTTCAGTTTTTAAAGCCGTTACCAAATTAAAAATTTCTTCCACTAAGATCAATTATCAATGATAAAAAATACTCTATTTAAATCTAAAATGTAAATTCTAAAAAGTAACGCAATGATCTCATAACCCTCAATTTTTATAAATTAATTTAGACCTTTTTTTCGGCCTTAATTTATTAGTTTATTTATTTACTTTGAAATTAAATTTCGAAATATCAATCACATATTTAATACTGTATAACGCTTCAGCCATGTTATCCCATTCCTGCATTTGTGTTAATATTCATTCTCTGCTTAGAATTCTAGCAATCTAAAAGACATTATTTCAATTATTTTCTTTAAAAAACATGTAATAAACAAACTTGGGTAATTTCATCGTCAATCAAGGATCTCATCAAGCCAAATTTACAAAAAACATCACAAATATAAGTTATAAGTCTCAAATAAGAATTTTTTTCAAAATTGCATTCGTGAAAATTTTTCTCCTTTAAAAATAATATAAGTCCTAACAAAAAACCATAAATTCATTTGTAAAATAAAGTAAATTCTATAACGAATTACCTAAAAAGATATTTGAAAAGCTTTATTTATTTTCGCATTTTACATTTTTCCAAAATCTTATTTACCTAAGTGTTATTAACCACTAAATACCAAGTGCCCTACAATAAAAATGACATACAACATAAAAAAGTTCATTAAAAAAAAACAGAAGGAGATAGGAATGGGAAATTTTCTGCATCTTGCTGGAAATCACAACTTTTCTCTCATCAAATTTAAAAACTAATATTAAAGTTCAGTGGTAACCAACTGGTGGCCCGCAGGCCACATCCGGCCCACACAGCCTTTTTTTTATGGCCCGCAAACTGCAATATATTATTTTTCATTTTTTGCGGACAATTTTTGTATAAAACTCTGTATGAGTTTAAAATGCTTTTTCGTCGAAAAAAAATTTTTCTTCAAAAAAATAACTAATTTCTTCGCTTTTGTGAAATTTGTGAACCAACGGTGAAAAACAATTTATTTCTCAGGTTTTGCATCTGATAAATTATTTATTCAAATACAAAAATAATCGTGTATGCTCAATACCTCCTAGAATAAGGAAGGCCTCAGCACGGGTTAACATAAATGAAAAATCCGATCCGTTGGTAGTCCAACGAAGTAGACCTGAATGGCTGCCACATTCTTCCATTAGCATTGGCGTCATTCATAGCTTTGATTTTGGCGAAATGGAATTCCGGTGACCATAACAGTCATTCCCTTTGGCGCCGGTTCTTCCCCTTCCACGTGTTTTGTTATTTTTAATTCGTTTTTGTGAAGTTTTAAGTTATGATAGCTACTGTTGGATTACATATTTGCAATATATATTAATGTGTCATGCCTTACCATTGCTGTGCAGTAAACTGCAAAGGAAATTATGCTAACGGTCCAAAAGTTGCCGTATTTAATTTTCCCAAAGATGAAGCTCAACAAAGACGTTGGCTACAAGCACTCTCACGGAAGGATTTTATCATCACTAAGAATTCTCGAGTAAGTTTTCTCACTTATTGTTTATTTCTGTTGAAATCGGGGTNAAAAAGGAATTTTTATCTTTTACTCCTACATAGACTGATTTAATGGTAACAAACAGGGACAAGTGATGCCAACAATGGAAGTTGACTATTACCATACTTGGTGCACTATGAAGACTTGGGATCATGTTTTGTCCTTTGTCTTGTTTCAAAATATAAAATGAAATTAATATTTTTTTTCTAAATTTAAAATTTCTTGTTTTTTAGAAATAAAATTATTTACTTATTCCATCAACTTCAACAAAAATTTCAAAAATCATAAATATTTCAGAATATTTAATGAAATTTATTTTTCTAGGAATTTACGGAAAACTTAAAGAGTCCTGCAAATTCTAAACTTATTCAAAAATAGCATCTACTTACCTCAACAAATTTAGATAGCATGGGCATTCCATATCTGGAGTTTACCTCAAAGAGCTCGTCCACGTACTCTGTAGGTTCAATTTGGCGAAAAATGCTGAAATCTTCAATAGTTAATTGTGTTGCTAATTCCACACTATTTAAATGCAATAAATGTACTTGACTCTCCCTTAAAAGTTCCTAAAACGCAATGAAGAATAATTAAGAAATTGAAAAGAAAGAAAAAAACAATTGATAAGCTTAATGATCAGATCATTAAATGGGATGGTTTTTAATGGGAAAATTCAATTTGTAAACAGCTTTGCTGTTGTTCAGTTTTTTAAAGCTGTTACTAAATTAAAAATTTCTACCATTAAGATCAATTATCAATGATAAAAAATACTCTACTTAAACCTAAAATGTAAATTCTAAAAAGTAACGTAATGATCTCATAACCCTCAATTTTTATAAATTAATTTAGACTTTTTTTCCAGTCTTAACTTATTAGTTTATTTATTTACTTTGAAATTCAATTTCGAAATATCAATCGTATATTTAATACTGCATAACGCTTCAGCCATGTAATCCCATTCCTGTGTTTGTGTTAATATTCATTCTCTACTTAGAATTTTTGCAATCTAATAGACATTAATTCAATTATTTTCCTTAAAAACATGTAATAAACAAACTTGGGTGATTCCATCTTAACAAAAAACCTTAAATTCATTTTTAAAATAAAGTAAATTCTATAACCAAATACCTAAAAAGATTTTGAAAGGTTTTACTTAATTTTGCATTTTACATTTTTTAAATCTTATTTAGGAGTTAACCACTAAATAAAAATGACCCACAACGTAAAAAAGTTCATTAAAAAAAACAGAAGGAGATAGGAACGGGAAATTTTCTGTATCTTGCTGGAAATCACAACTTTTTTTCTCATCAAATTTAAAAACTAATATTAAAGTTCATCAACAGATGGCACTACTGACAGTTGACTGGAAAAGCTATAAAACAATGTTACTTAATTTCAACAGAAATATTTCTACAAGAATCCTTCAATTTTGTCCTCAAACCATGCCATACTATTGCTGTTTGCATTGTTATTGTAACAGAATTTCTCTCAGTTACCACAGCCCCATCTGTTGCTGAACCTGGTAACTAATTTTGAAACTTGAAATGGATAAATTCTGATTTCCAAAACAAGAAAGCATACATTTCTATATCTTTTAAATTTGATGATAGTAGCACTCAGTAAATGATGAAAGAACTAAAAGTAGATTACTTACAACAGCAAGCTCGTCAGGCACTAATGACTCACTAGACATATTGTTTTTTAAATAATATCGACTACTGAGTGATATTCTCTCTGCTAAGTTCTGTTGTGAATCGGGTAAGCGCCGCTGTTTCACTACACCACCCTCACCAACTGAGACTTCACAAAGACAATATTTACTACAAAAGATAAAAAATGCATTGTAGATATAAAGCATTATTAGTTTCCTTTTTTTTAATTACAATTAATAGAACATCTACTCACCTGCTTGACTCCGTAATACCGAATTCCCTTAAGGAAAGCATGACTACTTCTCTAGCAGTAGTTTCCTATTTGTAAAATAAGACAGAAATAAAATACCAATTTATGATAATATAGAAATGTATTATAAATATAATACAAATTAATATAAGATAGAAATATATTATAAAATAGAAATGTATAATATATAAAAAATTTAATTTAATAAGTAAGAGTAGTTTCTTATTTATAATTGTAAGATAGAAATGTATTATAAATAGCTTTAAAAAAATATATATATTTCTTAGATGGTCAGAAAAATAATAGACTCAAGCTTAAGATGCCATTTTTTTAATATTCCCCTGAAAAATTATTTTAGTCTACCTTCAATACCATTAATCTGTTCAGGAATAATATAAATTGTGTGAACTTAAATGTTTTGGGGAATGATATAAATTTAGTTCTTTGTCCCTTGCTCTTCACATAAAGATTAGTTTTCCAAAGTTTAACGTAACAGAGTTTATTCAAATAAAAAGAAACCAGATTGAAAGTTTTAAAAAAGTAGTCAGATGTAAAGATGCCTAAGTATTTATATGTCTAATCATGTATTCAAAATGTTAAAAATAGTTAATTTTAAAAGATTAAGAATTATTATCTTTTAAAAAAGGGTAAAGCAAAGCATTCCAGCAACAGCCCATTTTTGGCCAGGGGGTAATAGAGGTTAAGGCTTCACAATTTCATGACCAACAGCTTGACTGAGGTAATTTGGTCAGCATTGTGCATAGGCCGCATTTACTTCCCAGACAAGTTGGACCAATCTAACTAAAGCTGGGTGAGCTTCAAGCTACCACTGGGGAACGAACCCCAGTCCACAATACCAGTGACAACTCAGTGCCTTAACCAATGAGCCATCTTGGCTCTGTCGAGATGCAGATTTCTTCACAGAAAATATGTTTTTGTGTCTGATTTCATAACTTAAAATATAGTTTTCACTAATTAATTATACTGAGTTTCCTCTGAATTTTAGGAAGAAAATTCCCTGACTTGTCCAGTAAAATTTCAACACTATCCAAGAACATATTTTTGCTATGCACAGAAATATTTCATCAAAAATATCATATTTATTTAACATGTCAGTTTTATCACACTTAATCACAAAAATTATAAATAAAAGCAATATTTTGCACAAACGCTAGAAAATTTAAAAAATCTCAATGAAACATAGTTAATTTATTACATTAAAACTCACTCAACTAAATAAATATTTAAATCGTAATTAATACATTTATAAATTTTTAATTCATTAAGGTAATTTGATGACTTGATTCACATCATTAATTTTTTAAAAAAAAATCTTATTTATTTACTACTAAGGGTTCTGGTGCTACAAACTATGAAAATAGTAAAACTATTGCCTTGAGTTGTTTTAATAATGTAGTTAAAATATTGAAAAATATCAAAATAAGACATAAGCTTACTTTGTGAACCAGTAGGTATTTACAAGTCTGATCAGACCTATAAATTTTAAGCACATGCTCTGGAAACTCCAATCGCAGTTCATCAGAGGGAGTAAGTGAGGTTAAGTCTGGGTTGCTATGACTATGATAAAGGGTACCACTACCACCTACACTACCTCCACTGCAAGGTTGGGGTGACGAGCCTCTGCCACTGTAATTTCCAGATCCACCGCTACTACTACTATTTATGGAGTACAAGCTATCATCCGAACTGTTCAAATGTGATTCACTGCAAAATTTTAAAAAGAGAAAGCGTTCAAATGTGCCAAATCCAGAATTCAATTTAGAGTAGATAGAAAGTCATACTATGTAGGATAAACAAAAATATTTTTTTCTGACATTTTATTTGTATCTAAGACAGAAGCGCCTGATACAAACACAATTTTATGCATTTAGACATTTTAGTGCTTTTAGACACAAAACTATACCTTGCAATTTTGTAAAGACAAAAATCAGGAGAATATGCCATCCAATGTTGTAATGGGTAGAATTACTAGTCACTTAAATATTTTACACACAAAAGCATAAAATTCGTATTTACTTAACATGATTTAACCATTAACAAAGCTTAGCTTTAATAAAACTTAGATTGATGAACAGGACTTCACTATTTAATTATTTATTGTATTATAATTACTATTTTTTACTTATTGCATTACTATTACAATTACTATTTTTTACTTATTACATTACTATTACAATTACTAGATGAATTTGGTTTACTCTGTATTATAAAAGGCATATACTTACGTATTAAGAGTTCTTGGAATTATATTCATTTTCGCTAGGACTCTAATAAACTTTGCTCGATGGCCTAGCGTTGAATAGCCTTTCTTTTCATTCTCTTTCTTTCCTTCACTGGTTGATCGAAAATTGGAGCCACTCATTTTTGATGTTGGGGAGCCAGGTGTGCCGACTGTTTCGTGCCATTCTGGCTGGGACGATAACCTAGAGCGAGGGTCATGCTGAAGTAAGGAGATTTCCGAAGCCTTGCGACAACGCCGGGTAGTGTTTTCAGGGGCACTCAGCATTTCCTTAAAAGCTAAAACACAAGAAAAAATATCTAATTATGTGCACTGTCTTTAAAACACACGCCTAATAAGAAATGAAATGGAGAATACTCACCAAGAAAATTTGATTTCACGGTAATGCATAGATGAGTGGTCCCCCTCAACAACTCCAAAGCCCTGACGTGGCTCATGACTTCGAAACTCTGGCCATTTACTTCCAATATCTATAAAGCAAAAACATTGATATCATTGAGAATAAAAAGACGGACATCTTTAGTTGTCAGTGGTTTATACATTTTAGAAACGTCTACTTATATTTGATAGCTAATCACCAACAGAAAGTACTCACTCATAAATAGCACAAACAAAGTGCAACAAAGCAACTGCAAAGGGTGCCTATAATTATAAGCCCCATGATGGTATATTTTCCTTTGAGTTCCATTTTTCCAGGATGGAAGGTTAACTGAGTGTAAACAGCATCAAGCTTCAAAAACTGGAACTAACTTGAATGATTCATGAAGCTTAATATAATTACAATTACAGTCAGACCTCTATTTAACGAAGTTGCTAAATACCGATAATAAGTTTGTTATATGGAAAATTCGTTAAATAGAAAATCACCTTTTGAAATACTTTACAGACACAAAACAGGTTTTAAATTCATAAACACTATTCAAATAGCAATTGATACGCCTTTATCTTGTGAACTAGTATCTACTATTTATTTTACAAATCTCAACCATAAAAGAAATCTGCATGGACAGATAGACTAGAGCGAAACATTATCCAGTGTTACACTATCATGCTACATACATTTTAAACTAGAAAAAGCTAAATTTATGTATAAAATTATAGCTGAATTTATTATAGAAGTAATTTTAAACATACATTACCACATGCGTTCATAAGTTTAATTGCTACTGATAAAATCCGTTAATTTTGTCTGAGTTTTTCGTTTAAAATGCAAACAAAAAGGGAAAGGGATTTCACTGCTTTCTCTGAAAGTTAAGTGGCTTCAAAAATCAATTCAAGGTCATATCCTCCATAAAATGCGTTAACAAGTTTAAAATGTTCTGAAAAATTTTGGGAAGTAGGGAAAGCGGATCTCAAAGAAAAGTTCGTTCAATAGAAAATTCACTTTGTTATTTGGAAGTTATTTTACGGCGAAATTTCCAAAATGTTCTCGGTTCCTCGAGAAAAAAAATCGCAAAATAGAGAAATTCGCTAAATGGGAGTTCGTTAAATAGAAGTCCGACTGTACTTGAATGTTGAGTTTAATACCACAACAGCAGAAAGTGGTTAGACTTCATCGGACACAACATGTCACATACTAAACTCAATAAAAACAGCTGGCTTCAAAGTAAAAGGAGAAAAGGAAGAAATGTCATTGAGGAAAAAAATGTAACTAAATATTATTATAATATTTCTTAATTTTCAATCTTGATTACTGATCGGTCATTGATTTTGAAATAATTTAATATCAAGACTACCAAAATATTCCATGCACACAAACCATCAATGATAACAATTTTAAAAAATATCACCTGAAATATTTAAGGGGAGAAAGTTTGCAACTGCAGCCAGGTCAATATTTATTTAAATAGTGACAATGTTATTCTCCTATTATATAGCATATGAAATAATGTGTGAGTTTGAAAAGTTTAACATGAAAACTAATCCAAAAGACGGAAATCATAAGTTTTTTAAAAAAAGGTATGATAACTTTTAAACCATAACAAACTAGTCATTAGGAATTTTTAAAAAAATTAGAAGATTGTAACATACCTGATCACCTCTTTTAAGACCGACTTCTTCAGCTTTTGAGCCTTTATCTACTTTGGAGATAAAAGTAGCAAAACCAGTTTCATATCCTCCCAGAATTGAGAAATGTAACACTTCCTCACGTGTTGACCTGGCTAATGTTATAACTCGAACACGAGCTTTTGTAGAACAAGCTATATTTAATAGCCTTTGTTGCCCCAGCATTTTCTAGTAAAAGAAAACTCTAATATGTTACACATCTTTTATCACAACAACTAACAAACAATAAATAGAACAAATCTTATTTTATTATAAACATGATACAATGTGAACTTAGGAAGGCCACAAAACAATTTCAGCAAATTGAACAAATTCTACAATAAACCATATATTGATTATACTGTATAAACTAAACGTTAGTTCTAAAAATATTTACTTAAAAAAACTGACAATTCATAAGACGGTATATTAGCTTTTCAACTGAAATAACTGAAATTCTGAAATGATCTTTTCTTGTAATTTTAATGCAGGAAATTGATAAAGCTAGTTTTCTGTCTTTGCACATCTTTAAACTACCACTGTAAATAATTGGTAACCCAAACAACGTCATAGAATGGCTCATATAACTGAAAAATAATGTGTTAAAGTTGAAAAATGAAAAATACTCTTTTTTATCATTAAATATTATTTATTTTCCCAATATTAAACGTTTGCACTTGAATAAAACTTGATCTGAGAAGGCCTTTTCAAAGATAAAAACTGTTGTAAAAGAATGATTTGAAAGTTTCATAAAATGCATAAATTTATTATATATTTCTTATAAAAAGTGAAAATGTAGAGTTTGCAGATTCATAATGCGTAAAAAAAAATGGAAAAAAAAGAAAGAAAAAAACAAGGTAAAGAGAAATGTGCAATGACAGCAAGAGGAAGAAACATAAATACTTCTGAATTTTCATAAACTAGAACTAAGAACTCAAGAATTTTCCTTTTATAAATTATTTCCATAGGTTTATGAAATATTCTTTGTTAAATTCGAGTTATGTTCCTAACAACAGGGCTTTTATTTAGTTTCTTGCAACATTTATTTAAAATACCAATTATTTATTTAAAATATCATGGAAAAGTCCAGGATATCACTATATCAGGGCTTGCTTATAAAAAATTAAAAAATTACTGTTTTTAAAAATTAGAGCTTAACATAAGAGTTCCATGTTTAAATAGTAAAAAATTCAAATTTTACAAAACTAACTGCACTTTAAATTCAGATTTATTATCTTCCATTGATGTAATCAAACTGTTCAAATTTTTTTAAACAAAAACAACAACAAAAAATTCTATTACTCTCTGTTGGAAATGAAATGTCCCTGTTTTATTCTTAAAACATAAAATCTACAAAAAGTGAAAGAAAAAGGAGTATATAAGAGTAAATTCCCATTAATTCAAGTGCAAAAAGAGTAAATTCTCATGTTCATAAACAAATTATTGAATTATGTGCATCATATAAATTGCAAAAAATAATAAAAATAATAAGAAGAAGAAGAACAAGCTTTGAAGCATAAGAAATTTCAAGGTTTGGAAAATTTTAAATTATTTAATCAATAAAATGCATTTTCTAAGAAATTCTAAAAATACTAACTTCTCTTTCCAACTTTACTTCGAATTGTTCTAAAAATTCCATCATTCTAACATCAGTTTCAAAATCTGTAAAATGATTGTGGACCCACAAAAGTACAACTCTAGTAACCTAAAAAGAAGATATAATCTTGGTAATGTATTAATTGAAAAGTTCACAGTAAATAAAGTAGGAAGTCAATTTTTCGATAATCTTCAATTGAAGTAAGAAATCATCAATACATCACAAAAATAAAATGAATAGTTATTTAAACTGTAAGCACTTATAGAGAATGCAATTTTAAAATGGTACATACACAACATTACATTTAAAATTCAAATCAGTAATATTTTCAACAAATCTTAAATATCAGTAAAATTTTAAAAATAATTTCTTTCAATTCCGAAATTAGATTTATAAAGAAAATTTATTTTAGAAATAATTTCTAATCCCTTCTTTAATACTCATATTAATGAAGAAATTAGAAATTATTTTTCTGAATACATCAAGTAAAAATTATTTCCAAAGAGCGAAATATTTATTTACAATGAAATAACAAAAACTACATTTAAATGAAATGAATAAAACATTTAAATGAAATGAATAAAACATTTAAATGAAATGAATAAAACTTTTAAATGAAATGTAAAACAGTCATTAAAATAAATTAGTACACAATTATAACTCAACTGTCATTTTATAACCTTTTTAGAAAATCATATTCAAAAAGAATTAAATTTGGCAGTTATTGTGCTATTTTGCTTCATTGAGTTATAAATATAAAACGTTTTCATATCAACTAACAAACCAGAATTTAAGGGACTTACTTTATCCCTATATTTTGGATCATCAAACCAAATAAGAAGATTATCAGCAACAGTTTTACAATCATCGATGAATGTCCGATATGTAAGCAGAAAATCTTCAACGTAGGTAACATCCATTGAATTATCTTCAACTAGTTGAGATAAAAGCCTCTCGGGAGTTCCCTAAAAGATACAAATATAAATTAAGATATTCTGTTCATTTTCATTGATTTTTTTAAAAAAATTAAAAAAATATTCAAATAATATTCACCAAGTTTTCAAACAATATTCACTAAGTCAACAGTATTTGAACATAAGTGTTAATATAAAAAGATCACATAAATCGGATAGATCCTAATCATTTTTAACATCCTGAGTGTTAATTCTGATTTTTTCAGCATTATTAGGGAAGTATCAGTGTAATTTTGATCAGGTGTTTAATGCTTGAAGGGTTAATTTAAAATGTATAAATTCTTTTTAAACATGCCATACATTAAGTAAAATTATTAAACTTATAAAAAAATATAAAATCAATATTTATTTCATGAATAACAGAGCAGCAATGTAAAATATTTTAAACCTGTTAAGAACAGAAATAAAATTAACAGGAGAAAGACTTTTTTAACTCAAAAACTCATTAAATTTGTCAATATATAAAATTGAAAGTTAAACCAAGTAAATAGGGAAATATATTTTCGGATTATTAAAAGTAACATGATCTATTCAATCAATTAATCATTTATTCAATTTTTATTTAATTTAGAAATATATCTAAAAAATAGGAAGAAATAAAAACGATAAAACATGTTCATTTTAAAGTTGTCCATTTAAGAGATTATTAAAGTAAATTTCATTAAGTATAAAATGTGCTTCCAACTTACTCTGATTATAACATGAGCCTTATTACGAGTAGCATCAACTGTCCGTAGTTCTGTGATATATTCTAATTTCCCATTTACTGCATGCCTTTTTATGTTTTCTTCACCTAAATGCAAGATTCGATAATAATCACTTTGTGCAACACACACAAATTGGCAATCTTCAGTTTTTGTTCTCATAACACCTTGTTGATACATTTTTTCCATTGTTGGAGTGATACCAAAGCTAGAAAAGAATGGACATTATTAAAAGATATTTGGATTGAATAACTCTATTTACAGCAACAACGGAACAGTCTCAATAATAAGCAGGATATACATGCAGTTATCTGATAATAATATTGTGCGGATCTAAACATAAAGGAATGGGACTTAAGAAAGACTAAGCTTTTATGTGAATTTTCCCAATTAAATGTTAAGAATCTTTTTCCAATCCAGTTCTCAAAATTAAAGTACAATATTTGGTATAAATTGTCTTAGTTGGGTACTTGCAGTTCAAGAAGATCACGGATACCCACACGTGACCTATGTCGCCAGTGCCAGCTGATCATTTATGAACAAGGTGGTGTGTTAGTTAGAATGTTAATCAACATGAAGTTACTACAACAGAAGAAAATACAGCAATGTATCACTCATCGAATTTGTTAAAATATAATTCTTCTTCGTCTACATCTTTTAGTTAACTTAGATTTATTATTTTTGTATTTTATTGTAACCAGGGGTCTGGTTTGTTTAGGTTTTTATGAAAGGTACCAATTTTGAGAAAATTTAGACATAATTTGAGAAAATTAAAAATTACATTAAATACATACATTAATTACAACACAAAAATATAGTAAATTTTATATATATTTTTCCCCATATGTTCAAAAATAATTTTGCTGTTGTAAAATTTTGGGCTTAAAATTGTATCCAAATTTAAAAATCCATAAAAATTATTGTCCATTGTTAAATTTCAACTTGAATTTAAAAAAAACAACAACATGCATTTAACAGTACTTCCACTAAAGGTTATTTTCATTATGAGAACATTTCCCACAAGGTCATATTGAAAAAAGTATCACAGAGAAAAAAAAGTTTCTTAAAAAAATAATGGTCTGAACGAATTTAGAACAATGTTCGAATGTTTAGAATAATGATCGAATTTCAACTTCCTGTAAAGTTTACAGAGGGGGTGCCTCTGCGTCTAATTTTTATAAAAAAGCTCGTTATGATATGGCGTCAGCGACCGGTTAGGCTTACCGGTCGCTACAGCACTATCTGACCAAGCATGCGCTACCTATTCGTACATGCGGAATTAACCAAGGATTTATCGTTTCTTACGGGGATAAAAAAACAAAATTTTAAGAGGAGGGGAGGGGAAGCTTTGAACTTGCTTTTTCAAAAGTATTTTGTGAAACTACCATTTTTCATAAAGTTGAATTTGTGAAGGTACCGCTAAAAGGTAGTAAATTTGCCCTGGACAAACCCCTGGTATTTTTGTATTCTGTACCTGGCAACTTCAATGCATAATTAATTTGTTTATGTTCTACATGGCTACACGGCCTGTCTTGGTTGTTAAGTTAGAAACATAAAGTGAAAGAATTTATATTTTTGTGAAAGAATATAGAATGGAAAGCACAGTTGCTAATGTAAAAAAATTTCACATTTCAACAACCAATCAGAATCGAGATACTCACACTACAACACTTGAAGGCATCCAATTATTAAAAATTAATAAAAAATCTAACTTAACAAACTAGAAGCTCAGAAAGGAGCCCGATAGTAAAAAGACAAAATCAAGTGATCTTTTAAATTAAGAATTTTTCCGTCTGTCAGCATCGAAACATATATTACATCTGTCAGGGAAGTCTAAGGGATGATTCGGTAGCAGGAAAATGTTAAAGCTCTCTTGAAATCGAGACATTTTTTTAGAATGCAGAAAAAAAGCATCTATCATTTTTTTTTTATTGTAAATTTAATCACACAAAAAATAATTTCTGAAAAAATTCTAACCTTAGAAGGGGCTGTGGTCCTTCATTTATAAAATGTGAGGGGTCAAAAGCCATTTTATGTACTCCCAGTTCTAGGATTTTATTAGAATTCACAACTAATGATAAGGAAATGAAGAATGGAAGTAAAAATATATTTACCTATCACCAATTTGTAATTCTTTAAGTTCGCCATTGGAAGACTCGATTTCTACGACTCCATTGACAATTACTGACCAAGAATCTAATTCCTCACCATCATTCATTACCACCACTCCTGGCTTTTCCACCACAGCAAACACCATAACAGCACACAGCGCTTTTCTCACAGTAAGTGTCATGTTAGCAAATGCCTGAAAATATTGATACACATTATTAAATATATGTACTAATTCTAGAGAGAGAGGAGGAACATAAAAATTAAGAGATGTTTTGGCATGACTGTTTATGGGTAGAAAATGGAGGGAGGTTTTTAATTTGTACGACCATTTGTTCAATTCGGTGCAAACCTAGTATGGTTCAGTGCAGTTTTTAAAAAAATACTTGTTCACAGTAAAGTGCTTTTAATGAAGAGCAGAATATGATTAAAAAAATGGTACAGAAAGAGCGAAGTTAGAATTTCAGGAAATGATTTTATTTTATTTTGTAACCAGCATTGAAAAGCCGACCCAATTCAGAGTTTAAGACTATTAATATTCAATTCTGTAGCTTTGGAATGATGAACCCAACCCAGAAGACAAGAGAGCTGCTAGATCAAGCATTGGGGCAGTAAGGGGATTCGAACATGTGAATTGCCTATCTTTGAGAATATTTTACATCTGCATTGTGGATGGAGCGAGTCGGGAGCGAGAATTTATATCAACCAACCATTGTTGGGATTCGTACATGGGTTACCGTATTAGGAAGCGAACTCTCTACCCTTTGAGCCAACATGGCTCTTAGGTTAGGATAGATAAGATCTGTGGCCTGTTTTTTTTTTTTTTTTTATAAATACCTCGAATAATATTGAAGTGCCTAGAATAATATTGAAACCTGGAATAATATTGAAGTGCAATTGGGAAGCCTCACAATTGTTAAACTTGTGAACTCAAAATAAAAATAGTTGATATTAAAAATTTAAACAAGAGAAAAATATATGATGCAGCATTGGCCAGGTCTGTGTTTACTCTAAAGAACATAAATATTAAGTTTGTATTAATTGTACGTTTAAACTTATGAAAGAAGATAAATTTAAACATTTTTGGTGCGTTCGTGATCTTATTTATTCAGTGTTTCTAATTTGAAAGAAGTTATTAAAACAACAATTTATGTTCATAGAAGAAAACTCTCTTCCATTTAAAAGAATATACAGTAGAGTCCTAACTATCCGAGCCCAGATTATCCAAGTTTCTGCCTTAATCGAGCTATCAAATATTTCAAGGACTTTTTTTTTTGTTCTAATTAATTTTCTATTTTTAAAACTAACGCCGAAAAAAAAATCTGAATTTTATCGTCCAAACAGTCAGGAAAACAAAATACAACAGCTTGATCTGATAAAATTATCCATAATATCGTCAGTAATGAAATGAACGATGAAAATCAACATATAAAAATCTCTCATATAGGTGGACTAAAAGCTATCGAAAGTGCTATTGAATATATAGAACAACAAGAAGCGATACCAACCTTCTTGTTAATCATAAAAAATGGCAAAACATTACTGCAAAAAAGTATCTAAATAATGTAAAACAAAAAAACCATTAAGGACTTTTTTTAAGTAAAAACTCTTTAATTTTTGTAAAGTATGCTCTTTAGCTGTCTTTAAGTAAGCTTTTTAATTATAATATGAATTCTATGTGGTAATTTATCACATAAATTTTGTGTTTGCTAAATACATTACATTTATACCTACTCTTTTTCAATCCTTTTTTATACTCTCCGCTTACTGAGTTTATCGGTAATCCGAGTTAGTCACGTTAAGTATTAACTCAGATAATCGGGAATCTACTATATTTACATTATACTTGAAAATGATAAAAAAAAGTTAGGCTAGTAACACATTTACTAATTACAGCTCAATCAAAATACTTAACTTAATGACAATATTGAAAAAAAAATCACAATCAAGGAATTTAAAAAAAATCAAAATTTGAAAAATAAATACAAAAATTAAGCATTCTAGTTGAATTAAAAGAGTTCCGGATAGTTTAAGGCAGCTATAATTCTCATGAAACAATAAAAAATAATACTAACAGGCAAGTGCTGCATATACTCAAGGATTATGCCAACATCTTCATCAGTGCGAAGAGCAGGGTCTTTCTCAAGACATTCTCTCACAGTGTCCCTCACGGTCAAACTCTAGTAAAATAAAATTACTTCTATTAAATTTACACATAATTTATGATTTAAAATAAAAATACTTATTCATAAGTTAAATCCAATAGATATACAGATATATATTTTATTTGTGTATGATATGATAGCATGATTAAAATGTTTGTTTCAAAACAGCAAAAGAATAAAATAACAAATATTCTCTTAATCTTTAATTAATATCAACGTTAGAAAAAATTATCAATAACCACTTTTAATATTTTTCATAAACTCATTACTATCCTTCTTATTAAAATAATATTTCTTAACATAAATTCTTAAATAAGAGTAAAATTTAACAGCAAGGTGTGCGCTTTTTAAAATTCTTACTAACTCACAAGTTTCTATTCTAAATAAAAAGTACACTCTTTAAAATTTGATTTTAATAAGAAAGGAAAGATATTGAAGAATAAAAACTGGCATGAAATGCATGATTTTTCATTAAAACTTCTTTATAGCTCCATACACAAAACTAGGAACCTACGCATTTAAGGAAAAACGAACATAAAAAGGGGAAACTTGTCCTCTCTGAAATAAAAATAATTACAATTTTTTTTAAGTCTATTTTTATCTGTTATTAAATGATGCTTATAGAGATTAAGTGATGATTTTAGAGAAAAATCTTTTTATACTTCAGTCTCTGGTTTTATAAATAACAATAATAACAAAACTGATTCATTACTGATTCATTCATGAAAACTGATTGATTAGAATGCTCTTCCTCAGGCAACTACTCTAGGATATCCTTGATTTAGAAAATCATACATGATGAAACATGTATGATTTTCATTACATTATATGTCACTTATATAAATTGTTCTAAATGTTACAAGTTTCACTGTGTTAATTATTTATCTCTAACTCATTATAACTCCAAACTTTCTATTAACAATGATAAATTTTGAATGATGTGATGATAGAACTTTCAAGATTCAACTTAAATTTCTTACTTTAAGGTGATACATCAAACTGGAATAAAGAAAATTAAATCAACTACTGAATATTAAGATAGTAAAAAATATACCTCCATGGATTCTGTGAGTTCCTCCTCCTCATCTGAATCAACAATGCTCTCAACCAAGCCACTGAGATCCACATCTTGATCATCCAAGGATACTGATTGTACTGACTGCATGGTATCAGATCCAGAATAAGCAGATGATGTATCACTTCCATGAGAGCTTCGATTAGATTTACTCAAGACACTCCCTCTTTGGAGCAAAGGATGAGTAAAATCCATTGAGTACTGAAAATACAAGAAAATTTTGATCAAGGGTAAAAAAGAAAAAGAAAAAAACTTTTTTTTTTTTGCAACAAGATATTTACTTTATTACAGACGCAGTTAACAATAACTACTTTTTCTTCAATGTAGTAATTGCAAACTACTTTCACAATAGTTACTACTTCTAGAAAACGAGCTCAGCCAGAGAACTTTAAAGTTGTAATTACAAACTACTTTCAAAATACAGTCACTACTTTAAAAAAATGAACTTTGATTGAACTTAATGTTAAAAATTGTTTTGAATAAAAAAAATTGCCTTATTTAAACATCGAGGAATTATTAAGAAATATTTATTCGTGTTTGTATGAGTCAGTTTGTTATTCCAAACAATTTTTTACAAATTCATTCTTTTAATCTTCAAATTTCTATGGCTTTCTTGACAAATATTTTATTTAAGAAATGCTAGAAAATTTTCAGATGTTGGCAATTTTGTTAAGTGCTTAATTCTCCTTTATTCCCATTAAGATATAAAGTACATCAAAAATTACAGATTAAAATATATTACATACCATTTAAATGACATAAATGTATTCTTTTACCTTTATATGAGTGTATGCTTATGGATGAAGGTACGACTTAAGTGATGAAGTAGCAATTATTCATAATTTCATAATGACTATGTTTTTTTTAAATTTACTATCAGCGGTAGCATATCTTTAAAAATATTTACCTTTCGCTCGAATAATTTTGCTGTTAGCCTGTGTAATTATTAATAACAGAAATTTCTCATTATTTAAAAGAATATAAAATGTGTTATTCCTTTTTACACTTTTATTTTTACTAATCATTAATCATTTTATTAGTGTTTTTTAACTATTTATACGTTTACCATAAAATATTAATCTGTATATATTATATTATCTGTAATATTAATAAATATTTACCATAAAATATTAATCTGTTTTGAATAGGTAATGTTACTATTGTAAGTAAAATTAAATAGACTGGACACTGTAGGAAAAGAACAGTATTATTGAGGTCTCTCTAAACAAAGAAGGAAAAATAGCTTTACAAATATTTTATATTTGTAAAACAACTCAGTATTTTTAATTTATTTATTTTTTTGAAATATAATCCCAATCTTGCATACAATAATTTATAAAATTAAACACAAATTTATATATCAATAACTTTTTAAATTACGTTATTCCAAACACTAACTTTCTAAACCAATATCAAAGAAATTATATGTATTAAAAAAAATAATATATAAAATATAATTCTTCATATCTTTGATTTACCATAAAATATTAATCAGTTAGTAATAATAGTTTCAAAAGAAAAATGTGTTAGTCTCTAAAAACAATTTTAATTATAATTTTGCTATTAACTAACAAAAAATGAAATAAAAAATTACAAAATAATATAATGAAAGGAAACAAAATAATTTAAATCAAACGTTTGTATTTTAGTCAACTTAAAGGAAAATGCACGAAAATCCCTTCAAAAGAAAGCGTTGGACAAACCTATTTTGTTATGCTATTGATGATGATAAAAAAAAAAGAATAATTATGAAATGTAATTAATCTAAAAGTAGTTTTACTTGAAGTGAATGTTTCATAGCTTAGCTGGCCTAAATTATTAAATTTATTATATAAATTATAATAGGTAAATTTATTTGCATATGAAAATAAATGTTTACATGTATGTAAAGAATAAATATTTAAAAAAAATAATTTAAATGTACCTACATCTTCATTAGAGCTCAAAATTAACAGCAGTCTGTTGGTCCGAGATTACAAATTTTCACTCTATATATCATAAAATAAAATAGCAGAAGTCCCTCGAACCAACATTAGATGAGAAAGTGGTGCCATAATATTTAGTATTCATAATTTCGAGTTTACTGTTTTCCACTGTGTTTTGCCTCAAAATAGCATATGGCACCATAATTGCGATATTACACATTCTGTGTATTGTAATTTATTACTTGAATTCACATTAACTTTTAAAAAAAAATCTAACAGAGACAGGTAAACAAACCAGTGAAAATGTGTGCAAATGAGTAATACATTACTGATCCCGTTGGAATAAATTTTCTTAATTTCTACCTCTGTACATATATAAGGAAAAATACAGTTTTACATTTAAGTTATTTATTTGCTTAGATAGGTAGTGAAGACATATGTTTCGGTGATAGGTTAAAAATTAAATTTAATATGCAATCATTTTATATAAAATTATGTAAAGCGTTAAGTAAATTTTGATTAAAAGACTTAATTCTATAAGAAAGATTATCAGAGTGACTGTGACTAATACTTACTAGTGTTGTCCTTTGTCCATTGTGATTGTGCATGAGATCATCAGAAGAAAGCAGATCTGGACTCATAGGGGAGCCTTCTTCCTGATCCAGAGACAGCATCTTCTCCAGACTTATAGCCGGACAGGAGGGTCTCATGAAAACGCTGTTTTCGGATCGGAAATCCGACTGAAAGGGAAAGGAAAAAAACATTTAGAATGAAGTTTTTCATAACACATTGAAGGGTAAAGGTCATAGGTTCAAAATCATGTTAATTAAATTTTTGTATTATACACTAAATGTTTAATTGAATTTGAATACAGCATCCAAACGTGATGAAAAATCTATAAAATGTAACAACTTACAAAATACTTAAATAATATTGATTTATTATTTCTACAAATGACAAAACAAAAGAAAAAAAAAACTGTAGGAATTAAATATTTTTATGAAAAAAATTCCAGTTTAGAAACAAATCTCGTTTTATCTATTTCAGCCATCAATTTCTATAAATACAAATGTTAAAATGTATTTTTAAAAAAAGTCAATGAAGCTTATATTACAGTGTAAAACTATTGATTATAATTTTTATTTATATTTCAACTTTTCATTTTTTAACTTATTTTAACTTTTCTTAATTATTTTAAGAATAGAATGTGATAGGAACAACAAATTTAATTAACTCAATTCAAAACACTTTATATAATACTTATGCCATACTGTATTATATAAAATAAGAAAGAAAATTTTTAATAGCCTAAAGTATCACCACAATTAAAAAGCTCCGTAAGTAACAAAAATCTAAAATATATATACTAAAAAAAATTAAGAATGACTTATAGTTTTATCAGAAAAACTACAAATTATATGTTTCATTTAAAAATACCAAACTTCATAAAATTTTTAAAAAAAAGCTAATAATTTATTAAAAGCTTATAACAAAGACATTTCATTTTAAACCGTAAGCCATTTCATAACTTATTCATCTCTGAAATTAAAGGCAAGTTAATAACAATAAAAATATATCAAAAAAGATTTTTAAAAAATTGACAAACCATTATTCTTGAAATTCACATTCTTCAAAACCATTAAAAAATCAACATATAAATAAACAACTTTTTTTTCTATTGATTCCAGTTTAAACTAATAATCAATAGACTATTTTCATAATCCCATTTTTTGTTTCGTAATTTGAATGAAAATAATGAGCTCAAACTATGAAAGAATAATTACAGTAATGTATCAGGCACCAATCACACCTCGAGCTTTCAGTAACTAAGGAAATCATAGCAAAACGTAGGAGCCCCATCAAAGGAAACAAAAAGGAAGTGAGTCAGTTAGCGTCATAAAATAAGGTTAATTTCCTCACTCTAATTTTAGATTTATGACAAAAATTACAATTTTTTCCGAATTTCTTAGAAGAAATTCCCTTTATAGTTATTTCATTGAATTAGATGGCAGAAGTTGAATGAAAATGTCAACAGGTGTAAATTTTTTTTCGTTTTTCAAATCTATCACTTATAATCAGAAGCAGATCTATGGTATTAAATAAATAATCCCAAAAAACTCAAGCGGTAATATATAGCCTGATTAAAAACTTTATACACTTCAAAAGTATAGAGATGTTAAAAGCGTTTCAAAAATAGAGGCACATTATCAAGACTTGACGTGAATAAAATTTCATATCACTTTTGCTTTTTCACATTCACGTCTGACAAGTCTTGAAAATGAGCGCCTAAAATTTTTTCCTACAATATTTAGTATATTAAAAAAAGAATGAATTATTAAAGTTAAAATAAATGAAATTTTAATTATAAAAATATTCCCGATGTACCATTCACTACAGCTGGGAAGGAACCACTTATTCATATGAATATATTTGAGGTACCATCAAAGGAACTATTCCGCCCATATACATAGAAGCATGCTGGACAATTACACAAATTTCGCTCAAGTCATTAATTGACCATCGAAAAACTTTAGCTATAAATTAATTATACAGTTAATAAAGCATACATAGCATAGTTAATGGATTTTCCCATCATGACTGCCAATTTCCGAGATTAATTCGAAACAACATTATTTAAGATCAGCGAAGGAACTAATTATAATGGGCGATTCATATGAATATATTTGAAGTACCATCAAAGGAACTATTTCGCCCATATAACAGTTGGGCTGAAAAGTTCGTAGGCTAACATAGAAAAAAAAATTTTTTTGATAAAATTCCATTTTATTATTCAATATAGTTTCCCTTAAGGGCGATACAACGATTATAGCGGTCATATAATTTTTCGATACCATTTTTATAGTACGATTTGTCTTTAGCCTCAAAATAGGCCTTTGTTTCGGTGATCACTTCTTCATCGGCGCCAAATTTCTTTCCAGCAAGCATTCTCTTGAGGTCTGAGAACAGGAAAGAGTTGCTGGGGACCAGATCTGGAGAATACGGTGGATGCGGAAGCAATTCGAAGATCAATTCATATAATTTTGCAATCGTTTTCATTGACTTGTGACACGGTGCATTGTCTTGATGAAACAGCACTTTCTTCTTTTTCAAATGGGGCCGTTTTTCTGCGAGTTCGTAGTTCAAACGCTTCAATAACGCTATGTAATAGTCGCTGTTGATGGTTTTTCCCTTTTCAAGATAGTCAATGAATATTATACCATGAGTATCCCAAAATACTGATGCCATAACTTTGCCAGCTGACTGTTGCGCCTTTTCACGCTTTGGAGTTGGTTCGTCTCGTGCAGTTCACTCGGCTGACGGTCGGTTGGACTCCGGTGTGAAATTATGGAGCCATGTTTCACCCATTGTCCCATATTGACGCATAAATTCGGGTTTATTACGATTAAACACAGCTCAGAATCATCAATTCGTTGTTGTTTTTGTCCAATTGTTGTTTTTGTCCAATTCCAAACAAAATTATTTAAGATAAGCGAAGGGACTAATTACAATGGGCGATTCATATGAATATATTTGAAGTACCATCAAAGGAACTATTTCGCCCAGAAGCATGTCGAACAATTACACAAATATATTCGCTGAAAAAATTAATTGACCATCGAAGAACTTTAGCTACAAATTAATTATACAGTTAATAAAGCACACATAGCATAGTTAATGGATTTTCCCAATTTTCTCATCATGACTATCAATTTCTGAGATCAATTCGAAACAAAATTATTTAAAATAAGCGAAGTACTTAATTATAATAGGCGATTCATATGAATATATTTGAAGTACCATCAAAGGAACTATTCCGCCCAGAAGCATGTCGAACAATTACACAAATATATTTGCTGAAGTCATTAATTGACCATCGAAGAACTTTAGCTATGAATTAATTATACAGTTAATAAAGCATACATAGCATAGTTAATGGATTTTCCTGATTTTCTCATCATGACTGTCAATTTTTGAGATTAACTCGAAGCAAAATTGGACAGATAAGATGACATCTATTATATTTCTACAAGATCAAGACAAATTGTGTTTTCGTAAATAAACCTATAAATAGAAGCAGTTCACAAAAAAAAGAAGCAGTGAGATGATTGACATCTTGCAATAAAAGTAATTTCCAGCAATCTTAGAACAGCCAAGAAATCGATCGATATAACAAGACGGGGAAAAAATGCCACCAGCTTTAATTTTCGCCGCCACTGTATTAGCAATAGATGAGGGAAATATTTTGTCATCGAAACTTTCCCTACGAATTGAACACGAGTTCCTAATATTGTTCTCACTTCTCAGGGGCTCATGGAACAATAATTTTCCATCTTTTAACTTTTTACATTAACTTAACATCTAAAATTTAGAAGAAGTTAAGTTAACTGGTTGTTCTAAGCAATTTTATCACTTAATAAAATCTCAAGATTCTTTTCTGCTAACACGCCTTAACAAATGCAATTAATTAACTATGCATACAGTAAGATTTATCTAATTTGCCGGGTTTTTAATTACAATTAAAAATTATAAAGAAAGGTAAGAAATTCGATTAAAGTAATCTTTTGGACCAAAATGGAACTGAAATTTGAATTTAATTGGTCATGATCAAAATGCGGTGATACGCCATACAAATACCCAACAATGTGCGAAAAATGTTAAAAATTAAAACTAATTATTTTTTGTAATAACTACAATAACTAAAAAAAGTTAATTAAGTTTAATTTGCTAGGTTTTTTAAAAAAATATTTTAAAGCATATTTGAGTTTACTTTCTAATAAGTAATAAGTAATATATTTTTAAGAAAAAATTGCATTTTCTACTATTAAATTAAGCTTGAGGCGATTATACAATTAGCTTCAGGTGATTATACAATTCTCAACTTTTCACTTTTACTCAAATAACTACTAACGTAATATAAATTTTACAAGGTCCAATTTTTTGTCCAAGGTTCAATTTTGGCAATTGAGTGGCTCAGTGGTTAACACACTTCTCAGCTTGGCTCAGTGATTAACACACTGAGCTTTCCTGTGGAAGCCTATCCAACTTCAGATGGATGGATACTCTTGCGTCAGCGAACAATGTTGACCACATAGCCATTGGTGACAAAATTGTAAAATTTCAATCACCATTTTCTTTTTTACGAAATCATAATTGATATTACGGTAGAAAAACTGACTTAATGTAGTGTCGGATCTAACCTTATTATTTCCAACATACGGAACAACGCTGTGGTTTTGGTTTCGAGAAAATAACTGCACCCATCTCATTAAATGAACGTTGATAAAAAAAACATAATTAGATTAATTTTAAATTGTTTAAAATAATTCTTAGAATTATATTTATTAAACATGTTTATTCTAAAAACGTCCATCACTATAAAAATGCTGAAAATTATTCAGATTTATTAAAATAACTAACGATACATTTTTACAAATGTTTATTATAATGAAGCACCTAAGATATTATTGAGATTGAAATCAATGCTTAGTGAAGAATGGAGTTCAAAAAACAAAGATATTATCCAAAAGAGGTCCAAGGACCATATAATTTTAAAGGCCTGTTTAGACAATCCAAGTTCTTGGACGAAGATTGATTGATATTGATGGAAACTTGTTTTGCTTTGAGCTTAGATTGTGTACGATCATCCAAGTACTTAGTCCAAGTCCTTGGACGATAGTAGATCATGTTCTACTCTCCATCCAAGTTTTTCCTCCCTTAACCAATCAGCGTCTTAGGTTTT